AGACTCATAAATATTGCTCTATCCTTGAACTGTCACAGATTTAAAGAAACATTTCCTGGGGAAATTTTTAGAGGAAAAGGGCTTCTGATTTCAGCACTGTTCCTTCCTCCCCTTCTTTCTTTTAGCCCTCAGCCTTGCTGCTGACTTTGTCCAGCACTTCTTGCTTCATTCCATTCCCTCCTTTTCCTGGAATTCTGCTCTCATAGCCTGGGCATGGCCTGTCCTGCCACTGGGTATTTCCACACAGCCTTGATTCCTCTGGATATCAAACCCTCTGTCCATCTGACACTGGGGCTTCTGCTGCTCCAGCTGCTCCTGAGTTCCCACTGCTGCTACACCTCCCATCTCCACACACCATGGGTCCCCCGCTTCTGCTTCCTCACTGCTTCACAGCTGTAACTGATTTAAGGCAAAATGAAAATAAAAGCATTTTGTCAAGCAAAATATTATTTTGGATACAAGAAGTAGCATTTGGTTTCTATTACACTTACCTTTTTAACCCTTCTTGGCACAGTCCTAAAGAAATGGCATCAATACATATTTATACTGTTCAACAAATACTACTGCTATGTACTTTGCATTACTTCCTCCAAAATACCCAAAATAGCAGTGTATTTGGTTGACTCAGAACTATGTTTTTCTGGAAAATTTTATTTCTTGTTTAATATCTAGCTTCAGAACCACAGCTAGTTTGGACTGGTTTTAACAAAGTATTCTGAAGAAAAACAGGCAAGGACAGCTCTTAAAATAGAACTGTTTATAGTGTGTGGCCAGTTAAACGATGGTTTTAGGATCAATCTAGATTAAAATCAAAGTATAAAAGAATAAAAGTTCTGGGCTTGAACCCATGTATTTCCACAAATTTCATATGAAACCAAGACAAAACTCAGAAACTTGTGGGTAGAACTTATACGAATATGCCTTATCTTCCTTAAAGTACAAAACTACTCTTTATTCACTTTAAGATGAAAAGGAAGTTACTTTCTTCTTGCTGTCTGAGATGAGGGCTCAGAAAACTTCTTCTGAACCAACTCTGGACCATGTAGTAAGATTTTTTTTAGTTTGTGGTCATTTCTCTGCATCATTCTGCTAACCTTATGTCATGCACACACCCAGAAGAAGAGGAAGTCCTCTTCTTATCATCAGCTGAACCACAAAGAAGTTTGCTTCTCCTGCTTTCTTACTTCTTGCATTTTGGAAAGCAGCAAGAAAAAAAAGCACATATATTCTTTTGGGTAGACAAATTTCATGATGGTTTTTTTTCAAATGCAAATACTTTAAGTTTGACAGAAATAACAGAACTTTGAAACCAAAACAAGTGCCTTGGTTTGCAAAAATGCAGAACACTTCTGAATTACTACAAACTTCAAAGTGATCTATGAATGCTCATCAGCTTTAAAAATTAGACCAATTATTTTCAAGTTTCTACATATGAATAAAGCTGATTAAACATATCTTTTTTTAGCAGAAAGTTTCTATAGTAAACAGCTCAGTTCAGGTTAAATTGTGAGGGTTTTTTTCAAGGGCATATGCTAATTCTAAAGGAGAATTAATGTTTTCCTCATGAGAAAATTAGCAAATTCTTTTCATGTCAAAGGAACATTTCAGAACAAATATTTTAGTTATGTTTTGAATTATGTTATTTTATTTTGATGTTTCAGCTTTTTTTTTTAAATGAAGGCTAAAATGCCTTTTTAAAATGCATTCTAAAAGAAATGTTGCACATTTCCTAGATGAAACAGTAGAATTGAAGGAGAAGCAAACAGAAAGCAGGTCATGCCATGCTTCTTCAAGAATTTCAGTAGAAAGAGATTCTGTATCACTAGAAAAATCAACACATTTCAAAACAAAAATATCGAATGGATGTTTTTCTTTATAGGTTACTTGCATAATGTTCCTTTAAACATGTTTCCAATTAGAAGCAGACAGAATAATTTCCACAGAATACAGAGTAAAATGGACAGAAAAATTTAGCTCAGCTTCAAAGTAGGTATATAAAGAGATTTAGCTGAGCACCTGACCCTCCAATGGAATATCTCCATTGATTCATTTTATAAAACCACTGATCCTTCCTGAGTAGGAAGGAGGGGAGTTGCTGCACCACATGTGCAATATAGCCCCGGGTAAATCATCCTGCTGCACTGAACACATGCAGATGTTACAGCTTATTTGCCATGGGGGTTTTGTCCATCCTAAACTTTTCTGAAGTGGAGGAAACCTGCTGTGATTCTTGAACCTCAGCAACAGCTGTAAAGGAAGCTGGGAAGGCAACAGTGTTGAAAACAGCTAAAGGAGACTTGCATGTGCAGAGAGCAAGGTTTGGTAGGCTGGAACCAGAATGGGTGACTGCTCTACTCCATTTCCTTCTTCTGGTGAAAGGCTGGCAGGGAACAAGTAAATCTACGTGCCTCCTCCCAGAGGACCTCTTCTGATTTCCCCCGTCTACACATGATTTCCATATCTACAGATGTGTCTGACCTGATGCCAGGCAGACAGACCAGGCAGACCCCTCCTAGGCCATGCTGTGGTCCTAGACACTGTCTTTAATGAGAAGAAAGGGGAATCTCTAATGAAGAATTCAAGACTTTTATGGCCTGAAAATTTCTCTCCTTCACCATAATGAAAATGAAGCTCAATTAGGTTTCTTTCTCTAGCTATTTCACAAGTGTAATGCTTTTGAAATTAAATGAATTAATTTAGGCCAAAAAAGGTTTCAGCAGACCAGTGTGATATAATGAGGCATCTGATAGAGCTGGCAGCCAGTATCCAGTAAACTCTACAACTGAATTTACATTCAACCCATTTCAAAAATAATTATGTCTCACCTAGCATTTCCTGTCCTCAGATAAATATGTATTTGAAGCTCAAAAATCAAAAGGACATATTCCAAAATACAGTCTGTTGTGCTAAATAATACTTACCTTGTTTTGTTTTAGTACCCATAATGCTGTATTTTGTGTGTGTGTGTTGACACACAAGTTTCTCTCTATAAATACAGCATCACACCACTGTACAACTGCCCCTCTGCCTAACCTGATGGCATAAACCTTCTGCGTGTGGAAGCATTTCTCTCATCATGGAAAGCACATTTCCCTTGTAAGCACACACTGTTATGTGCTTTCTTCATAGAGGTTAAAGGAAAAGTATTGCAAGGCTCCTATTTATTTTGTGCTCAAGTGAGATGTTGGGGCCAGAGCCCATGCATTCAAATGAGAGCTAAACCATTTCCTGTCTCTGTAAGATAAGACATTATCCACCAGTGTAATAAGGGACATTTTGGACCCAAAAAGAAAAGACGACGTGACGAAAGGAATGACTCTTGTGGATTTCTTGGCTTGCTAACTCCAGTTGAAAGCATTTTTAGAGATGTATGGACTGTCCTTTGCAGGGCAAGGCAACAGGGTGGAGGTATGATGGTGTTAGGACCTGGTCAGCTGCTGACAATTTATTATTTCCTAAAGGCTGTCAAGAGTCAGGTTGTAACTTAACTCCTGTCCTGAGTTCTGTAAAGGCCAGGAAAATAGAACTCAGACTAAGGACTCCCCTGAGGCAGAGCTGTGCGAGCCTGGGGTGTGCCATGGACCCCTAGGTTGAGTTATGCTCCAATAGCAGCCTGAAGAAGAGAGGCAATAATGAAGTAAATACATTGAATGGTACTAATGCAACCCATGATAACAGTTATGAGTAGTAAGTACATTACTTACCATCATTAATAAATACTGGTTCACTCCATTCACTCCAGATCTTGTTTGCTATGCAAATCTCTTTCTTTACCCTCACTTGTGCTGCATATCTTTTTGCTGGCTTATGAAATGGATACTTATAGTTCTCTGCAGTGACATTTGCAATCTATCAAGAGAGGTTTAGGGGATTACTTTAAAATATTTTGCATTGCAGTTCAAACAAATATAAACTAGGAATGTCAAATATCACTATTTATATCTCTAACTAGTAGGAAGAGATTTTCAGAAAAAGTTCTTATGGCCAGCTACAATTTGACTCTCATCTGTGTTAAAACCCAGAACTGAACATGAAGAGAGACTGGAACTGATAAGATGCAAGGAGGTACCATTAGGATTTTGAAAACACTGATTCCCCTTTCATTTTTTATCACACCACATATAGGATGAACACAGTAACTATAGAAGTGCAAGTTTCAACATTTTGGTGTGGGTAGTATGCTACCCTTGCTTCTCTGCTATAATAAAATCTTTCATTTTTCAGCTGAAGGATGTCCACTGTTTTTGTGGCTATCCTGAAACACCTTTAATTGTGCCCACGAATAAAAGCACATCACTACAAAAGATCAAGCACAAACATGGAGTGGTGGAATTTAAAGCAGAGGGATCTTTAAATAATCCCTAATCACTTTTAAACACTGAAGCAAACTTCTATAAATAATGTTAAAATTCTAAGTATTAAGAAAGAGAACTCTTGCTTGTAGAAATTAAAAGTTATGTTAGAAGGCTGCAAAGAAGTAGAAAGTATGAATCTCATAGATGAAAAAACATGGAATCTTTGTTTCCTTGGTGTTAGGAAAGCATGATCTGTTCTCCTCATACTGACTGATGTGGTGTGGATTTGAGCCTGTGCACCATGTCACTTCTTTCTCTTCCCTTTAAGGCTTTTCCAGTTCTGGTGTCTATTAATATTTTGTGGTACCCAAAGCACAATATGAAACTTCAGGAGAAACTCAGCATCTAGACGGGCAAATTAATCACAACCTGTGTCTTACATGTGACATGCTGGTCAAGGACACTTTAACAGTTGACCTTTGTCTAACACAGAATGATTGACTCAGTTTGTGGTTCAATGCAATCCACAGACCTTCTTTCTTCTGTGTTGACTCTTATAGTTTAATTCCTTATTTTGTGTTGACGTATTTGACCTGTATTTCCTAATCATAGGATTTTCCTTATTCCTGAGTTTTGCCTGAACCAGCATTTCAAATTCTAACCTTGTTTCCCATGGTACTTGATAACTTTTCCTAGCTTTCAAACAATACTTCTTTTTCTATAACAAAAAAAGTTAATATGGTCTATGTGATAATAATGTACAATTCAAATTTAATATAGAAGACAAACACTTCAAATTCACTTCAAAGCAAGCCTGACTCTGAAAGATTTAATAAAATATATTGATTTTTCATTTTTACCAAAAAAGACAAGTTGCATTCTTCATAAAAGATAATGGTATTTATTTAAACTTTGTTTGAGATTAAATTCTGTTAAGTTCAAGGGATGCCTTGTTTTTGGGGAAGTTATGTTGTACAGACTAAGTGTACTACCAGAGAAACTGATTACCTTATGATCTGTTATTTTAACTTGGTACAGAAAACACTTTTTCCTTGCTGAACCAATAGTAGGTGGAGGTTTCCAGTGAATTTTAATACTTCTGTTTTCAAGGGAAACTGAGACGTTGATAGGCGGGTTCAGCTTCTCTGAAAAATAAAATGCAGAGAGAGACCTTCTGTACCTTATGCTCTTTCTCATATTTCAACAGATGTAAAACAAATGAAAGTGCATCAGTCCTTAAAATATACAGCTGAGTGTTTTGGAGTTTGCCACACCCAAGGAAGACATTCTAGTGAGTGACACATTTTCTTAGAAGCTGCTGTTCAGTGAGTGCCTCAAAATAAAGGGACCTAGTTGGGGTTTTTCATGCATCTTTCTAGGAAAGGCAGAAAGAGTGGGAAGGAGAACAAGGCCCTCTCCAGAGCCAGTGCTGGTGCTGAGGAGTTTGCCACTGTCTCCATGTCATGTAGAATACATGTGTTTTGTCTACCCACAGTCCTGGTATTATTACTTAAAAAAAAATGAATTTAATCTCAGAGAGGAGTTACAGTTAGAAATTCATAGAATTCATAGAATCTTAGAAGGGTTTGGGTTGTAAGGGACCTTAAGGATCCTCAATTTCCAAATATCCTGCCATGGCTAGGGCCACCTCCCACTACATCAGGTTGCTCAAACCTTCATTGAACCTGTCCTTAAACATTTCCAGGATGGGGCATCCACAATTCTCAGAACAACTTGTTGCTCAGAGAATTTGTCTGATTCAATATATGAAGATTTCTGCAGATGCATAAGAAATATCTATCTTTCTTTCTCCTACAGAGGAGCAAGCAAGCCCTTGCTCTGGAGGAAGTACAGTATTGGAAGCAAGGGACATTTGGGTCCCCAGGATTTCAGCCTTGGATTCATATAAACAAATCTATAGTTGTTTTTAGCATGTCAAGTGTTAGAGCACTGCTCCTGAGTGTGTGCCCAGTACTCAGGCATCCTCAGTCCTTCTCAGCTGCTGCTGCATTTCTCTGAAAGGAAGAACTCCAGACGGAGTTTTCTGAAAAATCCCTCCCGGCAGAGAAAGAAATGCATGGCAAGTTTCTGCAGAGGGGGTCAGTGAGGTCTGGGGATGACAGAGCTGCAGAATGAGAAAAGCCAGAGAGGGGCAGGGAGGGTGATTGGCAGCAGGACAGAGCCCTGCAGCTGCTGTGCTCTAGCAGCCTCTGGGGGTGGGCGCACACCAGGAGCCATGAGAAGAGTAAGAAGCAGGGTTTTTGTTTCACCTCTGAAATACTGCTGCCAGACCATTCTCCCTTCTAAGGATGTCAAGAATAGGCAGCAATTTAATTTCATCCTTTTGTCGTATATCGAATTATAACTGGCTCTGATTGCAGCGTAAAATTTTAGGTAAAGCAAAAAATTCTAATGTCTTAAAATTGGACAGGTTAGATGAGATCTAGCTCAGAATAAATATTTAGAATTTTGAATTATATTTTTGCTATCCCTTGAGCTATGACTGATTCCCAGGTTACAGGTCTGGAAGACGATCAACATGTTAAAGACTTAAAAAGCATTTGAATCTGCAATCTTTGCTGAATTTCTGGTGAATTTCTTACCCATGAGATTAATTCAAACTTCCTAGAAAAGTTAGGAAAAGTAATTTTATATGATAATTCAAAACTGTAGATAATTAAAAATAACTGCCAAGATATTTTTAACTTAAAAAGAAATAAATAAAAATGCTACTAATGTTTGAGAACATTCATATTCTTAAATTCAGGTTATAAATGAGGCTTGTAACTATTTATGTTCTTTTTCTTAATCACACTTTTTCAGCACTATAAAAAAGGATAGAAAAGAAAAAAAATGGAGAAACAAGGGTGCAAATCTTACAAATATTGTTTCCTTATATTAACTATCTTTTCTTTTAATTAAAATTATAGATAAAAATGTTATTAAATCAGACAAAAAAAAAGAAAAAACCTTTAGCCCTAATCCATTTTGTTTAATCTTTGTGTAACATTCACACTAAGATGAATGCTTAAATAGTTAAAATTAATATTATGACTTTGTCACACCTATTTCTTTTTTTGCTTTTCATGAAGTAACCAATAAATAAGATTTTCATAATATAAAATAATAGACAATACTTACCTATTGCCTGAGGTGTGAAAGCTTTGTAATAAGACAGTTCTCTTGAACTATTTCTCAAATTTTTCACAGTTATGTTTAAATTTATTTTCCTTGATGGTTGGAAATGTATTTCTTTCATATAGCATCCAATATTTTTCTTTCTTGCATTTTTTATATATTGCTGGCATGCAAAAACCTGTCCTACATGTCTGTGAGAAGGAAATATAAGGTTTTTTAAAATCAAATACTTAGGTCCAAAATCATGTTTTCATACTCAATTGGCTAAACATCCTTACCTATATGAGGTAAAGATCTGGATATCTTCAGGAGCTTCTGCTTTGATGTGCCAGGTGCAATTGAAAAAAGAAATGTTATATATGATGCACAAAAGATTCTGTATGTAGACTGCAACAAAGAAATTATAAAAAGAATTTTACATTGATTTCCTTAAAACAACAGGATAGTTGCCTTTACAAACCCATTATATTGGCTTATTTCTAGAAGCATGTGAGAAAAAATAGGCCTTTTTGATTTTTAGACTGTGAAAACTGGGAAATATATCTGCTATTGACACAAAAGCCTTGCTAACCCACTTAAAATAAACTAAAATCTCTGATCTTTTACAAATTGCTGAAATCATGTGATACAGAAGGTAATCTTTATGATACATGAGTTGCTAGGGAAATTAAAAGAGTGTTTGGGTCTTACTGACATCTTGCTCAGCATAGCTGGAGTTTTCTGAATCTGAACACATCTAATAAAGGAAATAATTCTGCAATATCTCAAGGTATTATGAATCATATTTGTAACATATCTGTACCAAAAAAAAAAAAAAGTAGCAGAAGATAATTATGAGATTTCAGAAATTCTCCAAGTTATCATAAATGCTTGGATGTCCCAACAACAAGCAGGAAACAGATTACCTGGAGGTGCCTTGTAAGTAAATTCTGTCCAGTCACTCTCCTTAATTATGTCTTCTGTTTCTTTTGCAAAAAGTAGTGTCTTAACTTTAGCATTAAAACCAGAGTGTAACTTAAGATGTATTATCTTTTCCTTCTCCTGCAGTCTTTCCTAAGAGGAGAAAGAAGAAATTCCATGAAGGTAGACAGTTCTAAGTGTTGAAAGGGAAATTATGCAAACTCATCTACTGAATAATACAATATATTATTTTACTTTACTTTATGTACGACCTCTGAAGAACTTACTTTCCTTTCTTTAGTGGTATTGAAGAACTTATAAATCAAAATGTACTTCACAGTGTATTTCTTGGTTTCTTCTTTTGTCAGGTTATTGTTCCAGGACAAAATAACTCTTGTATTATCCTCGGTGGTCCACAGAACATTATGTAGCCTAAGTGCATCTGCAATTACAATGATATTACATAGAGAGAGGATCCTCCACTGTGTACACTAAGAAATTGTCTCTCAGCAAGGCTTGCATGCCCAGTAGCTCTAACAGGACCTCTGTTCTTGCCTGGAGAAGGAATTTCTGAGCTTTGCTGAATAAGACTTTCAGCAATGGGGATCATGCTGCTCTTTGCAGCTTTCAAAATTAATTGATTCACTTTTGCCTGTCCTGGACATCTGCCCTACTGCAGCTCTCTGTTTCTCTCTATGGGCTGTAGAAAGTGCCTTTACAAGTTCAGATTAGACATCTGGGAGAGTTAGGATAGGATGAACTGTTAATACTCTACTTACCCTTTATGTCTTCTTGTCCCCTTGCCAGGACTGTGGGAAACAGTGTCTTATGTTGGAAAAAGCTTAATATCAGCAGGACAGGAATGACTGTGACCCGTGCCATAGCAAATGTTTTGGGCCACAGGTCTGAGGAAACTGAGACTCTTTAGTTCCAAGTTTGGTTGAAAAAGTAGATAGAGCGTGATGCTTTCATTTTGCATCTGTGAAATATTAGGAAAGGGTCATCTAAATGCTTAAAAGGTGTCTAAAGTACAAAAGGTAAAAATGAAATGGCATATGTTTGACAGGATGTTTGTATTCAAACCCACTTTTAACTGGGTGCCAGGGTCAGAAAGAACGTGTGCCATAGAGCACTGGTTCTGTGTGACAGCACAGCTTTGATTGCAAGCCAGCACCACAGATATGACACTACTGACACTGCACGTGTTTAGAAAGGGCCCACCTGCCATACCCATGACTAGATTTAAGCCCAATAGCTCCACTTGTATGTGTCACCTGGCCTCTTACGATCCTAGAGAACTGTCACTTCTAGACTGTGACTTGTGTAACCTTGTTTAGGAGGATATGAACCATAAGAAATGAATCCTGACATTTGAAAAAGTATCAGCAAGAGAATTTTAGGTGTTTGCTAAATTTGGAATACAGTGAGCAAACAGATTCAGACTGATCAAAGTTGTTTTTAGCAAGACAGCATTGCTATTTCTTGGAAGGGTCTCATTCAGAGGTTGCTTTAATGTAAAACAACATTTGATACCTTCTGTGTTCATATGCCTCCATGTTAAGAGACTTTCACTCACTAACTGATTTATCTTGGCTCTGATTGTTTTCATTTTTAAATTCTCAGACATATTGTATTCAGGGATCAGCACCTGGAGTCATATAAAAAAGTTCACAATACATTGGCTAATAAGTGGCACTGGTCATGTAGAGGAAAATGTGTGAATGTTACAGCATCAGAAAAATCTACAATGAGGTTTCCTGGAAAAAAGAAACACACATACAATTAAAATTACATACATATACAGATTAACTTATAATGGTATTTTATCACCATGCAGTGAAAAAAACACCACTTAAGGAATGCTGCCCTTGTTTATGAAGTGCTGTGAAAATAATCATAACAGCTGTAAGGCAGAGGTTTCCTCATCTGGTTCATTCTGGAGTGATCTCAGCTGTAGCACCAGAAGCAGCTATAGTATGCAAGTCACACTTTGCACATGGCCAGCCAAAAAGAAATAAATCCTCCTGCTTGGTGTGCCCAGGTAAGAAACCAATTCTAATTGTCTGGAGGGGGAAGGGGTGAGCTGTGCCATTAATTGTGCTCCTAGAAGAGTATGGTGTGTGGCAAGAGGAAAAAGTCAGGGAAAATATAAAATATAAACAAGGGAATTTACATGGTTTACTACTCAACATATAGTGGCTCATCCCTCTCCATGGAATGGACCAATCAAAAACAGTCCTAGGAGCAGATAAGTACTTTATTCAAATTAGCAGAAAGGGAAAAATGAGGATGGTAAACAATAAGCAATTTAAAATACCTGTGGCTAATATTAACATTTTGTTTTTTTGAAAACACAAGTCAAAAGGGGATGTGGAACAGGAAAAGGAACAAAATAAATCTTGCAGTAGCAACAACTTTTGGTATTAGAAACAAAAATTGACATAATTTATGCAGCAATATAAATGCATTTATAGTTGGAGAGAGGACACACAGGGGCAGACAAGGAAGACTTTTAAAGTAAGTTTGAACAAGCCTAGAAAAAATCCAACCAACCTGAGTCAAAGAAAGACATTTCAGGTGAGACCAGTGCTATTTCCCCAAGGTGAGTTGCTCCTAGGAGTGCCTTTTGTGCAGGACTGAGAGGCACTTCTCCACTCTGTGTGCAATGAACACGTGCACCTTCTCCCACTGATGCTGTGATGGTGGATGGCCTGCAAATAGACCAGGCAAATGCATGGAAAGCAGGTATATGGAAAGCTACCAAAAACTGTTAGAGGTGCATGCACAAGCTCACATCCCTAATTCAGCAGCTGTCAGTGCTGGGGGAATACTTCGGGTATGGGCTGCAGGAGGTGGCCAGAGTTGTGGATTATTTCTGGGTAACATCTCCTGTTCTCACTGCTGCAGGCAGAACAGCAGAAGGACAGCTGGGCTGACCCCACAGGATATTTCTTATGTTTATATACAATTAATTAGTCCACAGAAACCAGCAAAATGAAAGCACTGCAGCATAATTGCACCCAAAGTGACTAGGAGGGAACAAAACCTGTCCATACATAAAAAGCTTTTGATTCACAACTTGTCAAAGAATACGCATTTTCATTTGTGCCAGCATAGATGAGCTGAAAGACGGAACATTTCTTCTCAGACATATGCAGACAGGACTTTGTGTTCCTCATCCTGTGCTACAAAGAGGTTTGAGTTAGCATATGGTGCTGAAATTCAGTCCATGATGTGCAAAATAAAATTCATTGCCTGACAATTTTTTTCTAATAATATTCTCTGCCTCTTTTTTCTCTGAAAAAATGCATACTAGCCAAATATACTTGCAGACAGTCCAGTTAATCTAGTGGGATAGAAATTATCTCAACGATCTAAATTAGCAAAAAAAATAACCATGATGAAAAAAAAAAAAACCAAAATAAAAAAAAATAAACTCAAATTCTTTCCAAGCCACGTCCTGCCAAAAATGGGGCTTAAAAAACACTATAGATATTTTACCACTTCTTTTTCTTTTATTTGTCCCTTTTCTTTCACTTATGAGCTTCAACTACAGTGAATACCTGTTTGTTGGTGCCCAGCAATGTCTGGTTTACAGTAGTGCATTGTTAGAGTAAGAGAAAGGGAAGAGAACTGACAGGAGCTGCCAACCCATCCACCACTGCAGCTGCAGAGGTTGTACAAAACCCACCTGGTGAATTTGGGAAGTAGACAGAGAAAGAAAAATGAAAATAGCTAAAACAAGTTTCACAACACTTAAGAGCTGTTAGTTCAAGTGGCAGGACATTAAACTATTAATTTTAAATCCGCATTATACATGTGTTTGAATAACACATAACTTTTTGAAAAGTTCTGGGGATGATTATTATATCCTCCTAAATGCAAAAGTTAATTTTTTAAGAAATAGTTTATATATTTTTTTCTTTGAAAAATAAATAGTAAAATTATCAAAAAAGACAATTTCAGGTGGTCTTGAAAATTATATTATGCCAAATTTAGAAAGTAAATTCAACTATTAAACAATGAAATCTTTTATTCATCATTCTAATGCACAGTCTTAGATGAAGGGAATCACTAGGACTGTTTGTCTGATTAAGGCTACCTAAAACTTAGATTTAATTTAGGGTTGTCAGGTTTTTAACACTCCCCATACCCCATCCCATATTTAATAGTGGAAGATATAGAAATTGATCAATGAATGATGAAACAATAAATAGAGGTCAAATAAAGTTTAAATCTCTTGGTAGCTGAAGAACCAAAAGAAGAGTACCATTTACAAACTTTTTTTCAAAACTTACCTTAATTTCAATGCTTGTTAAATCCTAGGTACCTATGCATCATTTGGGCTGAGAAGTGGGACAGATCAGCACTGGAGAATGTCTTGATTTAGGACTACAATGAGAAATTGATTCAGGAGACTTCCCTTTTCATAAGGCACTCCCTCAGAAAAGCCCATTGCGAGGGCCACTTCCCACTGAGGGGCTGAAGCACACCTCTGCATAAAGCAAACACTGACTGGAACCTTACCCAAGGTCTTTGGACCTCTAAGGAGACACATCTTTGCATGACTAACTCAAAAGCCAGAGCTGTTACTATTTTTCCCATTTTTTATATAGAAGAGGAAAGTTTCAAAACTTATGTATTTTAATTAATTTTTATCTTTTAGGAATAAGTCAGATTAAAGAAGAAATTAAATCACACAGTTCAAGTGTGACCTATGAAATTAAAATCCCAGAAAGATCCTACCCTACTTGCCATTGTTTTGCTGGTTTTTAGTGGCTAATATGCATCTTTCAGTGTGCACCAAATTAGAAAAAAAAAAAAAGGTCACAGAACTAATAAGGAAAAAGAATAAATAAATCTTGAATATTGAACAGGTAGAACTGTCTAACTCTTCATAGCTGACGATTTGCCCAGCCGAGTCTCTGAAATTGTCCTTTTATGTGACTTTATAATTTTAACTTGCAGTTATCACAAATGGAATTGCAGGACACACTGACAGTACTTACAAATGTCATTCTGGGGGGAGTTGACTGACTTGATAAGTGGGATTTAATTTAAACTGCAATAAAATCAACAACTTTGTTCATACACACTGATATTTTGCTTTCCAGCTTTCCATGTTAAGCTGGATTTGGAGGGGCAATAATGGATAAAAATTGTTCTGGTTTTTTTGGGTTTTTTGTTTGTTTGGGTTTTTTTTTTTTTTTGTTGTTGTTTTTGTATTTTGCTTGGAACAGATATGACTCATTATTCACATAAAAAAAGTTTATTCACTAAGGATCTGACTCCAGATCTTCGTGCAAAAATGAATTTCAAGAGTCAAGACTGCATTATTTATTACCTTTTCAAATATTGCCAAATTTGGACAAAATATTTCACAATCCCTTCTATAAAGGGCTGAGAGGTCAAGTAATATAGTTTTTATAATTTGCTAGCTAGTGTGATCCTTTCCAGAGCATGGAAACTAGCTCTTCTTTGCTTTTCCCCATCTTTAGATACTGGACACACAGCAGAGAAATGCTGAAACATAAAAGACCTTTGAGGCTTATTCAACAAAGTGTTAGAAACCCAAAGATCTTCACTCTCATCCCAGGCTGAGGCTGTTACAGTTATGTATGGAAACAAATATATTCTTTCAGTGTATGTGTGTGTGTTAAAAATACATGTTTCAAAGAAAACGCAAATACACAATCAAACAAACAAAAAAATCCAGCTATAGAAATGTTATAGAGAAGATCAATGAAATGTTTCGGGTTGTTAATGGTAAAATCTTAAAAACAGCTGCTTTGTCTTTTGGGTGCCTCTTTCTTTCAATAAATATTTTTGTCAGCGATTACTCTGACTGACTTACATCTAGATTTTCCTGATACACAGATTCAATATACTAATCTTGATCTTAGATTAGAAAAGGATATATCTAGGTCCATGTGTTTTTTGATATTTTTTTTTTTCTAAAGCTAGATAGTACAATTCAAGGTTAGGCTAAACCAACTTTACCTCAAGTGCTTGAAGGCAATTGTTTCCTTGTTCTGGTGTTAATCAGACATGATCTTATGGTGGGGATGTACAAAACCCACATTTTTCTAATGATGAACTAAGATAAAGGAAGGTAAATGCTTCTGGAGAACTCTGACTATATTTAAAAGTATGTTTTATTTAAGTGAGAAGAATATGACTTCGAACCTCAAATCCAATGGTAATAATGGCAAACCTGACCAAAAGCCCAGGATTCAATTTTTAAAATGTGGAAAACTTAATTTCCCCTTGTATCTTTTGTTTATTAGAAAAACAACATGCAAATTTTGCCTGGTTAAGGTATGTTTTTTACTTTGAATTAATGGTAGCAACTCAACAAATAAACTCAACAAATGCAGTACGTTTCTTCCTCTTCTCTTACACCATAACTCACTGCCATTACTGACTTCAGAGAAAAGTTTATTACTTTGTATGCATTTTCTGGAGCTCTTTTAAAATTTTAAATAATTAAAGATTTTTACTTTATTTTTCAAATCTTCATATGTTAATTTATTGAGGAAAGCAGGAATGGTAGGAATTCAACACATTTTTCCCATCCTTGATAGACTCTCACACTGAGTTGTGTTATAGTTTCAGTCCATCAAAGTGATGCACTGGAACCAGATGTGGATTTGAGCTGATCAAAACAGCAAGCCATGTAATTAAAAATATCCACAAAACCAGTGCACTCTGTAGTTACTTCAGCAGGATTTAGGTGCCTGTGGAAAGGAACAACTGCTCAATATTCATAAAGCCTGTGCTCTAGGCAGTGTTTAGTACTTGACAGCCCTTTCTGTCTCAGTGCTCTGAACCCAGTGTGGGGCCAGTGAAGTCCCATGCATGTGACCAAAGGACGAGGTCTTTCCCTTCTCACAGTCCCTGCAGTCTAGTTTGTTCTGTCAACACAGCTAGTGCTTGCAGTCACATGCTGGGGATATTTGGGGTGCTCTTGAGTTCCACCTCTGTTTACACCAAGAAAGGAAGAAGGGGAAAACTCATCTTTAGCTTTGTTTTGAAGTGAAAATGAAGTTTCAGAAATTTGGGCTGTTAGTAACACGTTTCACTGCAAAGGAGTAGTGAGGATGGCTTGAAGGATAGCAGTAAGGTAAATGGAGTGTCCTGAAAGTGATACGTGGTTGTCAACAGAAGGGAATTTTGAAATCACAGCTTTCTACTGCAGTGACTAAATTTCTACCCTCTGGGTCTCTTAGTTCTGTTTTAAGTCTGATCTCATGTTTCTGTTTCATATAATAGGGATGTCAGTCATTATTCAGCTTTCTACTCTGCATCTGCAGTCCCAAAACATAACATTTCTCTTGTCATTGATTATTTTGTAGTACTTTTCAAACTATATGTATGTACATACACCAATGCAAGGCTTGAGAAGAGATCTCCTGGAGGAGATACCTCTTTGCTTTCTGAAAATTATCAGCTGCAAGAAACAGCCAACTGTTGACAGTGAAAGTCAGCCTTAGATACAAAGCCTCTGTTCGAGTTTTTCTCAAATCACACAGGCAGAGATTTATGGGAGAGCAATGTGCAGGTTTGGGGTACGCTGTAGCATATGGTGATTTTGCATCAGGGATGAGAAAGAGTCCTATAAAGGAGTGCAATACTGTATAGCCATGTTTGGCCTTGCCTAATCAAGGGGCATCAGTGAAAAGTTTTAATTATAAGCTCAGTGCTGTTAGTGATGTGAGTACAAAACCATTAGACTAAATCAGACCCATTTAACACCTACCTTAGGATATGCTCTGCATTTAATGGGAGAGATGGGGGAGGGCATGAATACATAAAAACAGATCCTTAATCTTTCCTGAGCAAGGAGCTGAGGCACGGAGAGATTATACAAGATTTCCAAATCACACCAGATATATCTGAAAGAGCTAATTGCTACTATTCTGTCATTTCCATTTTAAATTTAATGAACAACATAAAAAAATCCTCCATACACCGGTCAGAAGCTGATGTCTCATTATCCACACAAATTTCCTCTGGGGTGATGGTCAAACTACTGATGCATTACAATAGTTGTGACTACAAGGAGCCTAAGAGAATAAGGCTTGAAAGAATGATTTATCTTTTATCATTAAAACAATAGTATGAATCTAGAATATTTCTAGGAAGATACCCTCCTGTATTATTTCAAGGGAACTGGTGAAACATACCCTAATATAGATAAAATTCCTAGGCACTTCAGAGCATATATATCATCACCTGATTATTAATTTGTGCAGCTATTCCTGATCAGATATTCAAGTGATGACAGCAGTTAATGTTTTCTCCCCTTGTTAGGATAAAACCTTTTAAACCAAGAAGATTTTAAAAAACAAGAGACTCTAAACAAGAAAAAATTCTCCATTCTACTCCTTTAATGAATCATTGCTAAATTATCTCCATGCTGCTTCGATACAATTAATATAAAAATGTCCTTCTGAATGATTCATTCTATCTTCCTCCTTTGTTGGTATGCAGAAAACATTTCAGGTATTCAAAAACATTCCTTACAACATTTTAAAACTTCAGGTCCTAATTTTCCTAATTATGCCACCTTCAAGAACTAGGACTGGCACTGGCAAAGCATCTATTGATTTACAAGCAGTTACTAAAAATCTGCTTCCTGTCTATATTTCTGATATTAAATAAGACGTATTCTACTGCTCATATATGAGCACCTAACATTCTCAGTGAAGACAAGTATGTCAGTATTCATTATGAAACTAAATGGAGAAGAAAAAGTCTATCCACCTGCCATAACCATCATTCTAGGAAAAATTCTCTTACCCTTATAACACTCTTCCCTACCAAACTCTATCTGCCCAAGAGAACAACAGTGAAGAGCAGCATTTAACACTCTGTTGAAAGAAAACTGACTCTCAGCCAAGCAGTATGGTGATATAAAATTCATCAGAGACAGGCAGAGGGAAAATGTCCATCCATCTGCCAAGTGAAAGTAAATAAACTTCTTGTTTGTGGAACAGCTTTTGCTTACAGTTTCAAAACATGTCAGCTTCTTCACAACTGAACCATCTAAGAAAATAATTCCTCTTAGTCACTTCACCCAGAGAGATATTAAGCAATTCATTCTGTATTAGAGAAAGATGCATTTCTAGGCACTCTGCTCATCAGTATTAATTATTGGTCAACATTGATAATTGTGCTTGTTCAAACTCCTTATTACTAACCTGGAGCTCATTAATATTAATTCTTCCATTGAGGTCTTGTGGTGCCTCAGCCTCTGCTCAAGGTCAATACACTGAGAAAGAAAGCCCACTGAAAGGAAGTTGTGAGTGACTAGAATGTTAAAATGGTTAATGAGCCAAAACAACTGGCCATTTGCAAAAGTTTCAGGTGCTTTACTGACCATGCTCAAAGTAGTCATCCAGGTGCAGAGAAGGTGCACAACCACCACCAGAGGCTACAAGCTGGGGTTTGAGCCAGGTAATGCAAGAGGCCTATAAGATGCAGATCATATGAGGTGGGATAGTGCTTTTACCATGTCACATGTCCTCCTTTACACAAAGGACTCAGGAGAGAAAACTCCTTCCCAGGTACTGGGGCATTCAGATGTGGCCTGAAGAGATACATCCCTTCTGATGGGCCATAACTGGCTCAACTAAGGTGAAGAGAGAGGCAGCTGAAATGTCTTAGAGTGTGTCATAAACCATCAAAGACCTGTTACTGCCCAGTGATCCACATCTTACATCAGACAGTGTAAGACTCATTGCCCCATGGGTGGTATTCTGAGCATGTATTAATGAACTGAGCTTTGTGGTTTTTGGGTTTCCACCATCCCCAATGGATCAAGACCGTGACCATCATTTTGACCAATGGGCATCAGGGATATCGAAATTGCAATAATCAAGTCTTGTTTTGGGATCCACGGGTGGTGATATCTTTCTACTCTTATCCTTTCTCCTTTGCCCTTATACATTTCTTAAGTATTATTTTTATGCTTTTGTATTACTGTGGATAATAACCAAAACATGTACATACCTGCTTTTATTGCAACCAAGAGCAAACATAAACCCTGACTATTTATATTTTATAATATTTATATTTACCTACCAGTCAGTGTCATTTCACTCTAATCTGCCCCAAAGAGATATATTAACAAGAATCTGATTTACCCTCACCTTCTGGGGTGGATTGTTATAGCAATGAGTTTTGAAACAACTATATTCTCACCCGAAAGACTGACCTATCTACAGACACTGTTGTTTCTCATCAGCAAAAGAAAAAAAAATAGCCAGGAAGTATTTTTATAAAGTCCTGACATGTTAGATAATTAATAAATCTGGGGTTTTTTTCTAAATTTTAGAAATATTTTTAGTAAGAGCCATCTGAAATGTGCATCTGTGCTTCAAAATAATCTGAGAGTGCAGATTGGGAGTTATTTTTCAGTATCCCAGTGGAGGGTACTTGATTTTTCTGACTAAAATACATTTTTTGTCTTGAGGATTGATAAAAACAGTGAAGGCGGAGGAAAAACCATGTTTAAATCTGTCAGACAGAAGAAGGCTGCTCCAGCACAGAGAACAGAGGGAGGTTTCCTGCCTCTGGAAACTTGAGAGAAAAGAGTGAATTTTCCTGACATTTTAAAAAGGAATGTTGTTGGGACTTACCTTTGGCAGAGGTTCACAGCTGTTTCTCTCCATCCATGGTTTACAGTGCCCCAAGAAGGACACATGCTTTTCTGATGGAGAAGATGAGAGGATGCAGCCCTCTATGATGCTATTTCGACTGTGAAGCTTATATAATTCCCCATTTAGTCTTCTGGGGAGTCCCATTGAGACATACTTTTCATTCTGAGATGATTTCTCAAAACTCTTAACTTCCACTATGGATCAAGCTTGCCTTAACATTTTCAAATCCTTTCCTGCATTCTGTCCAATGTTACTTCTCTTTTTCCCATAGATCAGCTTACTCACGTCCCTGTGTGCAATCAGATCAGCTAACCACTAAATCAGTCAGATCTCTGCCCTTTCAGTCACAGACAATAATTCTTTCCCCCCAACTCTTACCAGTGCACTTTATGATGCAAGTGTCACCACCAGCTCTACTGATGTCAGAGTTTGCACGTCTGCCCTGCTGATTCAAGATTATCATCAGTCTTTTAAACTGTTCCCTACATTAGGCTGAATCACACTAATTTAGCCACTTCCACTTCATTTTTATCTGGCAAGTGTATGTGGCTAAATGTTTATCTTCTTTTTAAACCATTGTTCCGTAGTTTATCAAGGTTTTATTTCTGAGGAAGCATAGAATCATAGAATGGTTTGGGTTGGAAGAGACTCAAAGATCATCTTGTTCCAACTCCCTGCCATGGGCAGGGACACTTTCCCCTAGATTAGGTTGCTTCAAGAGCCAACCAAACTGGCCTTGAACACTTCCAGTAGTGCCAAGTCCACCAATTCTATGGACAACTTGTTCCAGTGATTCATCACTCTCTCAGGAAAGAATTTATTCAAGTGTAACCGTCTTTCAATTTAAAGACATTGCCTATCTCACATAGGTTTTTTCCAATACCTTCAGGAGAACTTGGTAAAGAGGTATTTTTCTATCAGAGCCATCCCTTCTAATGGGTGAAATACTAATATTGATTATCTCCCATTAGTTCAGACCTGTGATTATATGGCTGAGTTTTGTACATGTCCTTTGAACACAAGAAAAGCCAAATCAGGAAAAAGTGTGGTCAACAGGTTGGTAAAGAAGGCTGCTAAACCTGAAAAGAACATGTCAGTGTGGCAAAGATGGACTGCAGTCAGATTTGGGATCTTTTCTGCTTCCTAAAAACAGTTGCTTTAATAGTATAACTGCCCTCAATATGGGTGGAAAGCATACTGAGAGCTATTAAATATTTAGTGGTTTATGAGCACTGCATCTTTTCTAAACATCTCATAGGAAAAATTACAACAAATTGTAAAATGCAGGGAAAATAGTTGTTAAAAAGATTTGAAAAAAAAGAAAGGCAGAATTTGCTTAGATAGTATATCTCACAAACTTCAACAATGAATCAATGAATGAAGTACATCTAAAAATAAAATATATCAAATATAAAACTTCACTACTATAACATTATGAGCCTAAGTCTTCTACAAAATGCAGAGGAAGTAATTTATTTACTTCCTTAATATTTTCTCACACAAAACTCAGAGTAGCCTAGACTGGAAGTGTCTTTAGCACAATTCTCTATGAGAGAGAGTACAATACTGAGTGGGAAAGAAATGCAAGTACTTATGTGCTGTAGAACCACAATTTCAGACTGATTCATATCACCTTTCTAGGAATAATCAGTTAAATGTCACTGTAACTTGAAAAGCAAAGGAATTCTGTAATAAAGAATTTTCAATCTTTTCTGTCAAGATAATTTTAACTACACAAATTAAATTCAGCTGTCATTATTTTCAATTAAAATAAATACAATCTAATAAAACAGCACTCTCCTCACTCTGTTCATTTTCAGCCAGAAAGAATCCTTTTCTGTTCACAGAGTTTAAAATTAGCATGGAATCTCGTAACTAAATTATAGGCGAATATAATATGCAGTTTTAATCTACACTTTAGAAATTAATCCCATCTTTGAAGTCTTGTTTAACATCCACTGTATGGAGTTTTAATTATGGGAAAAAATACTAAATATTATAATATTTTAAAATTATTAAAATAAAATCTAGGACTAGGAACTAACAATATCTGCAGCTAAAAACCTTTATTTAATCTGATACAGAAATTGGCTGGATAGAAACCTTCGAGCAGAGTTTTGAGTATAGAAAGCAGGCATTCTTTATTGCAGTATGCTGGTCACCCCAAGGATATTTCCTCTAATCAAGTGTGCTGAGCATCAGGTGAACAGAGATTGTACCATGCACAGTGATTACATATTCATTAGATATCCCCACCTCCTTGATTTTATTTTACATAATCACAATCTTCATGGGAAGCCCTTACATGGTTCTTTGGGTTCTGTCTTCCATGCCCCGTGTCCATTTTAGGTGGTTGTCCCTCAGTCCCCGTGTTTGAGTAAGCATAATATCATTGCTCTGCATAACTTCTGCTTTGTCAGCCTGGCAGAGCTGAGCTGGCATCCTGCTTGTGTTTTGCATGATTTCTGTCTGCCTAAGTTACATCCTTTATCTGTTTCTTCAAGGCTGTGTTTTTCTGCTCTACTGTCCTTGATAAGAGTAAGATGTTGTTCTGTTCTACTATCCTTATCAAGTGAGGAAAATGCTGTTCTGCCCTATTGTCCTTATCAAAACTATTTCCAATTTTCCACTTTTTAAAAAATTTGTTGTACATTGAGAAAAAGGCTAAGGTGAAATGTTAAGACCACAATAAATGTCCACTTTGGTTGGAGACTGGATTTAGGTTTCAAATTGTGGTAGACTCCAACTCCAGTGTAGATTATTGCCTGATGAAGTGCTCTGATAAGAAAACCAGTTTGGTTCTGCAATGAATATATTAACCACGTAGTTTTTAAAAAATTATTGTTTTTATCATCACATGAATAAAAATGAGTCTACTATAAATACCTTACTTGGAGCAAAGTCTTCCTTCACAATATAGCCTTGTGTGACCTGGAGATCTCTGTTCCTACAGCTGCACATATATAGAAACAGGTGTGTCCATATCTGAGTAACAGTCTGAAATACTAGCTCAGATGCATGAGCTTTGGAAAGTGTTTACTGCAATAATATTCTATAAAATACCAAAATCAAAGAATAGTTTGGATAAGAAGGCATATTCAAACATTGTCTAGTCCAACCCTGCCCCCAGCCTGATCTTGAACACTTCCAAAGAAGGAGCATCCACAGCTTCTCTGAGCAACCTGTTCACAGAGACTGGGAATTGCCCCAACCTGGGACCAGGACCTTGTTAATTCCATGAAGTTTACATGATCCCATTCCTCAAGGCTGTCAAGCTTCAAGCCTCCCTCTGGTTGACATCTCCTCCCTCTAATGCAGCAAATGCACAACTCAGCCTGGTGCCATCCACAAACTCACCGAAGGGCGCCCTTGAACTCACTGGCTGTGGCACTGCTGAAGAGGTAAAATAGGGCTCAACCAAGCATGGACCTTTGTGGAACACCACTTGTTACTGATTTCCACTTGGGCATTGAGGCACTGACTCTAGTATTTCGATGAGCCCATCCAGCCATCTAACCATCCATCTGTCAAACTGATGTCTCTCCAACCTAGACACAAGGCCGTTGAGGGGGACCATATGAGAGGACATACTGAAGGGATTTACATGGGCATGATTTGAAACTGAGTTTGAAATGTGTGGGTAGAAATGTGGTTTAGAGTTTAACGGAGTGACCCAAGGCTGCTATTTACAGAAAAATTTTCCTTCTGAAGTTTGAGTGTGTTTTTTCAGTATTTGCAGGGGAGGAGAATTAAAGCAGAATAAAACAGGCACAAAACAAAGAACAGAATGTCTAAATATGGGAAGACCAAGTGCCATCAAGAAGCAAAATTATGCCCTCAGAAATCTCTAAGTAGCCTTCATCTTGTGTGCAGGCAGTGCCTTGCTGCTTTCCAGACTCAGGGTAATCAGCCTTTCTGTTTCTTGGGAAGATTCTCAAAGTGGCCACATGATGGTAGCCTAGGATTAGGTACAAACAAGCTAAATCAAGAAAGTAAAGGAAATAAGGAGAAAAACTAATACTTGTTAACTAAAATAAATGTCTGGATGCATCATCCCCACACAGTGAGGACCTGAGTTTAATTCAGCTTTCAGGTATTGTAATATCCAGAACAGAACTGCCAAGTGTACCTACTGCATAGCCCCGTACTGAGACGTGCTGTGTTTGGAGCTCTTTGGTCCTCTTACAGACAAATTAATATCTAGCAAATTTCTGCTTATACTTTCCTTCCTGTTTCTAAATACCTCACATAAAAGGTGGCTGGTTTAAAATAGATTCAACCAGAGCAAAGAAATCAGAAATAAAGGAAAGATTCTATTTTGATTATTGACCTCTTTATTACTATAACTGCAATGTTCACTCTTGGCATTAGCTATGAAGAAGACTAAATGAAATAGTGGAATTCTTATGTTTTAAATTAAAGGCTCCAAAGCTATTAATATAAAAGTTGTACAATTATTCTGGTTTTTAAAAGAATACAAATTGACCCAAAAAGTCTGTGGTAAAATGTGTTGCTCTTGAAAAGGATGCCTTTAGACTACTCTGGCATGCAACTCCCCTCCTTTTCATTAATCAAATTAATCATCCTTCAGAGTGCATAGCAGCTAAAGAGAACTTCATCAAGGTTGTCTGGCCTGGTGAAGTCATCTATGTTTACATCAAACACTGCTGTGAAACTCTAACTGACAAGACTGGGATGCTTGTGTAGTACTCCAGATCCTCTACAGAGGTGATCTTGGGTATAAGCATGAAGCCTTACATTCCATACAATTAATTAAATTGCCTACACTGAAACTGATAGAATGTTGTTTACTCTGTATAGATATTGAAGATTCTATCTTTTCCAATCTATATGAAAAAAATTATTTAGAAAAATTACTAGAAAATGAATTAAGATTTTAATTCCAGCTCAGCTGCCGGTAATTTAATTTCCTGTAGCAGTTAAACCATCACCCAAATTCTCTAGTGCTGGGACTCAGGGTTCCAAGAATAATTCAGTTCTGAGAACAGAATAAGGTCCAGTTGCAAGAATTACAGAAACTGAGTAGTTACAAAAGTCATGGCATTATTGCAGAACTCCAGCAGACCTCTTTCAATTCCTCTACAGAGCAGCAATGAGAAGTCCTTACTTCTGCAGGTCCTGAAATGAAATGTCATATCAGGGTAAATGTTAGTGTCTTGCTGTTTACCCTATGAATAAAATTGAGGAATTGAGACCTAAAGAAGAGGAAATGTCTCAAGAACCATCCCCTACCTATTCTTTCTCTGCCCAGAAGAGCAACAAGAACAAAGACTGATGGGAATGAAGATGTGCAACATACAAACAGAAGGAGGACAGATTTTATATGATTTACCACTCTTCCAATAAGATATAACACTGAAGAGTAATACACTCAGTGAACATTATAAATAATGAGATTTAAACACTGTTGTCTAATGACTTCATTTTTCTGCTAAAAATATTTAAAGATGAAGAAGGCAAGGAGCTCTGTACTCAGACTGTGGTGTGGGGTACATGAAGAGGCAGGTTCTATGCTTCTGAGTTCCAGGACACCAGCACAGACGAGTGACATACTGTTGGTTTGGTACACTCAGGACATTTCATACATACAGAAACTTTTCCTGATCTGTGCATTGAATTTACCCAACCCAGAAAAATGTGCACACAAAGCAGGAAGGTTGTCGAGACTGGTGACATGGTTTGCTACCCACCTACAGGGAATGAGGCTGGCTAGTTCAAAGTTGAGAGCAGCTCTTCTGCAGGCCAGAGCAGTGGGCTGATACTCCTGCACAGGGCAGCATCCCTAAGCAATAAGCAGAAAACAGTGGCATGGCTTGAAGCAATGATAGCTAACCCACACTCGAGACAGAAGGAAGACCCATGTTAATATATCTTTCAGGTGGTGCCCTGCACAAACATTTATATGAAAAATGTGTGACAGAAATGAATGAAAATTATGTGAGTCAAATAATGAAATGGGCGCCTCTCTATTCTGACTCTGTCCCAAGGCTGGGAGGGACCCTGCTTCTCCCCATGGTTTAAAGGAAGTAAGGATAAGGGAAATGAGGCAATGAAATCACATTGTCAAAGCATGCAAAAATACACCAAGGCAAAGTCATAGTTTCTATCCATTTTGTTCTCCATTACTGTAAGCACCACAGAAAACAGGTTTTCAAGGACAAGGTAGGTTTAATACTGTGTGTTTTTCTTTTCTATTTTTTTCTATTTCTCTTTTACTTCTAAGAAGCTAGGCAAAGAAATACTGAGTTTTGTCATTTCTTATAGTTTTAATGTTAAAATAACTGTGAGGGTTGGATAACGCTACCTGATAGCAAATGCCTACTTTCCTCTGATGAATGTCTCAGACAGTATATTTTGATGGCACATTTTTTTCACAATCTGAAAATAATTGTATAATTGTATTTTAAAATTCGTAGTTTCCAGTGTTACTGGTCTCATCCACATAGCAGTATTTTGTTTGTAAAATTAAACCTGAATTACAGAATTTGAGACCCTGTGTTACTTTCTCTTGAAAACACAGTCAAATTGGAAATGTTTGGATTTTAGGTCTTTGCATGCATAGAGTAAAATCACTAAATGGAGTGAACTTTTTTAGGAGTACTGCATTTAGGCATGAGTAGAATGGAAGTATGTCAGTGACCTTTCTCTTTAACAATTTTAATACTTTAGAAGATTCCATAGACACAATTCCCTGAAAATGCTGCAGGACTGCAGTCATAGTCTTAGCCTCATAGCACATCCAACATGGAAGCAGTAATTCCATTCCATACTTTCCAGCTGACTAATGTCTTTCAAGATCTTTCAGGAGCAAAGCTGGGAAATGAATCTCAGGGGTCTACTTTAATGTACTATTACTCAACACAGACTTTCCTGTAACAAAATATGGTCATATAAAAAAACAAAGTATAAGTTTTGGGGTTTTTTTTTTCAGTTACAAGCCTTTCTTTTCATTTGCTATAAAAATCATAGAGGGATAAAAATATGATAAAATATATGGCTATGTGTTACTCATCATCAACAGACTACTGGACAGTTTTTATTTTCATCTAATCGCCTCTCTAATCAACTGCAGTAGCATTTCAAATTTTGAATTCCTGACATGACTATCCCCTGTGGAAAGGTGCTGGGTTCAGGCTTCTCTGAGCAATACCTTGTTTTGTAGAACAGAGAGTAGCAGTAGCCAATTTTCATAGAAATTACTTCACACAAATATGCTTTAATTTTCCCAAAGATTTTCATCAATAATCTGCACAGGACCTATTTGAGATATGGGAGGAAGTTTGAAACATCTCTGGGGAATATAGGACTGTTCTGCTGCTGCAACTGTTTTTCTAAGGAGAAGAAGCACATGATACTTGCACAGGTATAAGAATGAGGAGTAAAAGACATTTTCAATAATAATTTTTCATTTGAGAAAATAATAGTGGCAGTATTTTTATTTAGTAATTACATGTGAATTCCAGATGATGTAAGAAAGGAAAGGAATGAATCCTCTTGGATTTAGCTAACAAAGGTGGATAGCTCAGAATTAGAGAGATTCCTCTGGGCTATATTTTTGGTGCATTGCAAAAAGTAAATATAGTGAAGCCTTCATTCATCTTGTCCCAGAACAGATTTAATGGTCTAAAGTAGCTGGTTTTTTTCCAGGCTGTGTTAAGGCAGTATAGAATTACTGGTTCCCCTGTGAGCATCTATACAGCTTTTCAGGAGGTTAAGGTAAGACAAACTCCACCTCATACCTAACAGCATCTTCAGAGTTAGATTGAAAGGTTAAAATAATTTAATTACTTTTAAAAATTTTTAGATATTCTTTATTTCCAATATCAAATTTGTTATCTAACATATTTTACAAAGTATCTGGTCAATTATGTCTAAGATCCAACAGTTTATGCATTTTTTAATTGAAGAATGACTAAATAAAAGTAAAAATTCTTTTGGGCTCAAGACCCAAAGGGGAGATCCTGTCCTTCCCTCCTAGCAATATTGGTAACCACGAATGGTTGCAGAGCGAAATTTTCTTATCTCTGTTATTTTTCTTAAGATAAGGTGTCTACATTGTTTCAGATGTCTGCCAAGAAATTGACATATTATAAACAAACAAACAAAAACTGAAAGCACTATATGTACTTGAAATAGTGGATTGTTATGCAGTTGCATGCAATCATAATTGTCACATCTCAATTAAGTATCTTACCTCTTTCATGAAAATAATGTCAAACTTTCTAAAAAGAGTAAAATATGTGAAAATAAGTTATTTGTGTCTGAAGCAAAGGATGCTTCAGAAGATATTAACATACTTGCATATGTATTTTATTATTATCATCAAATAATACAGGAGGCAGTTTAGAAGGATGAGTACAATACAGAGAAATTAAATTAGTTTTTGCATCACAAGTCACGGAAAAGACTAATAAGAATATGGTCCTACCCTTTTTTATGGGAATAAACATGTGCAAATGACAAATATGGGGCATATCAAATAGGAGTGGTTAAGCAAAAAGACACTAGAAAAATGTAGCCAGTCCTCAGTATAAACTGGAGGCAGAACAATATCAGTGTCTCTTTGAAAGAATGTGAGGTAAAAGTCTCATGAACTCTTGGCTCTATTCCAGGTGTTGCTAAAAATACAAAGGTAATGCTGACAGTGTTCGATGAATAGAGTAGGCTCAAAAATAAACCTTACAGAAAGGGCAGTGGTGTTTATATATACTTAACCAGAATTTCTTTGACTTAACCACAGAAATAAGAATAAATTAAAAATGAAAAATAAATGCCCTAAAACCTTGGAAAAAAGGTCCAATCAGCAACAAGTATAGAGAGGCTCATATCTATTCACAGCATATGCATGAATATTTCCTTTGTCATTGAACACTTCAACTGCTTATTGGCCCTCGCAAGAAACACATTGTGAAGTGATTTAAAATCAGAATAACCCTTTTTTTACTAAAGGCTTGAGGAAGCCAACCTCTCCAAGACCCTTGCACAGCACCTGTGATCTTTAACTGCTGCATTTACCCAGCAATTGCTTCATGGGGAGACAAATTCTCTATTCATTTTGTAAATGGGGAAGTGAAGTGCACAGACTTGGTTGGCCCAGGGTCATAAAGTGAATCTGTAGCAGACCAGAGAGCTGATCCGTCTCCCTCACCTCATCAAGTACTGTAATCACTGAACTCTCACAAACAGTCTGTTAAATATATATAAACTTAATACACATAAATTGGATGTAAACAACTCTATGCTGAGAGTTTTGATACCTCTAGTGGCTAAGTATAGGTCAGTATTTATTACAGCTATGGAAATAGCTCTTAGTTGCTAGCCCATACTGTCATCCCAGAAGAGCTTGTTACACTATTTCTGATAGAGGATAAAAGAAACAACTGAAAAGAAAAACATAACTGCTGAGAGGAGCATTAGTTGTAATGATGATCACTTGTTCAAACCTACTCACTACTGGGCCTCACAAAAAGTGGTATTAGCACAGCCAGGGGGGCAGGATGGAATCAGGATCAATGAAGGATGGGAAAAGGCAGGGCATGCTTAGGCCAACACTGCCATTGAAAGAAATGCTGCTGGACCAAGCTCTTGAAAAAGTTTCAACCTTCCCCATGGAAGAGAGAAAGATTTCCTGAAATCCAGCAGTACTTTGACATCTTTATCATATCTTTAAGAATTTATCTTCATTTCCAAAAATGTAAGAATCAGATGCAGAGTTTTAGGGTGAACAAGAGAGGTAAATGCAAATGTTGTGTGTGTGGTGCTTAAACTCAATGAGCAGAAGTTGGATTAGTCTTGGAAAGCTGTGGCCCAATCCTTCAATTCACAGTGATATCTTCGTGTTGGAGATCTCACTTTTTGGTAGGGGAGAAACACACAAGGAATTCATTCAGGTTATGAGTATAGGTTGTAAGTTAACTGAAGCAAACTGTAAACTTCTGGTTCAGCTTTGTCTTGATTTTACACTAATTATAGGGATATTCAGGCCTGTTTCTATCACGTTCAGTGCTAATAAGATTCCCTCTATCCTTGAATCCAAAGTACTGGAAGAGATTAACAGCCAGTTTCAATTCCTAATTGAAAAATACATCATTCTCTTCAAAACGGCAACACTTCTGCAGGGATTAGCTTCAGGAAACAGTCTCAGGATTAGATTGTAAACAGCCAGCTGTCACACAGAAGAGATTCGTGAACATCTTATTTAAATTATTACTGCTTTGAAACTAAGGGTCAGAGCACTTAACACAAGCACAGCAGAGAGAACTTTGCCACCCTGCTCATGGTTGTAGAATTTACATTCCACTGTAGACTGGGCCTCAGCTAAACAAGGGGTCTAAACAAAGAACACTACAGTGACTGTCTCTGTTATTAACTTCCACTAACTCCCTATGCTTGAATTGATTAAAGACTCAGTTAAATCCCAGTCACATCTATGGCTGCAGGAACCATGATAGATAATCCATGGCTCAACAGAAATAAAATCATTGCCATCTTCAAGTAAGGACAAAACTACAAGACCAAAACAGTCAGATTTGTCAAGCAGATAGATAAAAAATTGCAAAATGAGCCTGCAAAGATCTGTGTTGTTGGAGCAGTTATTCAGTCTTTCTGCAGAGTGGACATGGGATATTCTTTCTGTGTTTGCAGGCATGAATGGGACAGCCATTGAACATTTTGCCTGTGTCATTTTTAATGTTTCCTTCATGAACTGCACCTGGCACGTGGGCAAGACTGCTACAGAAGACACCCAGTATTTTCTCTACTGGAGACCCCGAAAGTAAGTCGGTCTGCTTGAATATCTGGAATTTTGATTTGTGTTTGAACATATGACATTGTCAATATTTTATTGATACAATATTTCATGCAAAGGAAAGAAGGTGTCACAGAATGCCAAAATTACATCAAAGATACCTGTGGAAGGCACATAGGATGTCGATTTCAAAATGTGACAATAGAAAATAGCAATGCATATTTCCTTGTAAATGGGTCCAGAAGTGGACAAAGCATTCAGTCATATGAGAAGAAGATACTTCTATACCAAATTGGTAAGCCTTTTTTGTTGATTTAAATTTCAGCTATATGTTAAAAGAATTAAGAATTCATCCATGGGAAAAAGAAAACATTTAAAAAAATATTTCTTCCCATAATAGATTCGGAGTTTTTTCAACTTTTCCCAACCCCAAAAGAAAAAAAAGGAAAAAAAACAAAAAAAAAAAAAAAAAACCGGAAACAAAAGGCAAAAAAAATTGAAAAATTCAAGCAAAAAATTAATCTTTGAGAGAAAGGTGTCATTTTTTAGAACTAACTAGCTAAGGATTCCTGAGTGGGACTGTCTAGATCTTGGTCTTATTCTCTTGTAATGCTGTTAAATCCACATAATGAAAATAACTAGTTACATTAATGCTGTGAGCCAAAACTCCCCTTTTTTAATGGAAAAATGTTAATTAAAAAATCTGTTTAATTTGAATATAGTATATATTAAAAAAACCCTTAAACCCAAGAAATAAAACCAAACCTGCAGAAATCACATGCTGAGTTCAATAAAATGTAATAAATGGCTTGTGTTTTTAGTTTTCCTTACTGTTGCACCTGGTCCTCCAGGCTCCTCAACTGAAATGTTAAATCAGGGGGTTCCTGCTTCAGAATATGGGGACAGTATAGAAATTCTGCTAAAATTGCATTACATCCTTTTAGATCAGTTGCCTGAACATCCACCTATAGTTTTAAAACTGCAGAATGAAGAGAGCTATTACTAATCAATAGTATTTCTGATTATATTATTGTAGAAAAACTCACTCCTCCATTAAATATCACAGTGAACTGTACAGAAGCTTCTCACAGATGTAGTATTTCGTGGCAACAACCTCAAACAAGTCATGTGAAAAAAAGGAGTTGTTTCAAATATGAAATTGTCATAGAAAGCAAGGTAATAATAATTATGACATTTAACAGCATTTTGTTTTTCTCTATTTCCACACATAACACCATACAACCCTGTTCTTATCCCCTCCTTTTGAAAGCTTGAATGAATATGGAAAGTAATATTGCATCCTTCAAAAATAAAGTTAAAAATATTTGTGAGCTTACTGTTACTCCAACAGTGAAAAATTGAAAAAAAAGGAGACATAACTTAGCTAAATTAAATATTTAAGAATGGAAAAGTTACACAGGCAAAAAAACAATGGAAAAAATGTCTGAGTTAATTTGTGAATTTTAGATACTTTGTTTTAACAACAAAAATGTAAACATTTTGTCAACCCAGGACTTTTTTCTTTTGTTTAGTGCTTTGATGCTCAATTCTGCAATCAAATTTAAAGGGTGCAATATTTCAGAGCATCAGTGGAGAGGAAAAACTACTTAGTGGAAGAACAGCTTAAATTTCACAGTCTTTAAAAGGCATTTAAAATATTACATACACTTTTTCTTTTTGAAAATCAAACATCCATGAGAGAAGACCCTTTATTATATAGTAACAAAAGAATAATCCTAAAAATTAAACTTTTCTCTTGTTGCTAGGCTGATGCTGAGAAAGACACCAAAACCACATCTAAAACAGTAAGTGTGTATTAATTGAAAATTTATGCTATATTGAAATTTCTTCTGTATCAGAGCATCTTCCAACCAAATTGGTTTGGTTTCACACTACCTGTTTGAATGTACTGCACATGATCATTATTCATAAATTTTCCTAATCTGAAGTTTTAAACTGTTTTTTATAAAATTTGGTAAAAAACACCTGCACATGTGAACTTAGATATTACTTCACAACATCTTCCATTTTGCATTCTTTTTTACATCCTAACAGATTCATATATATGTAAAAATACGGATCATGATTCTGTATCACAGAAAAAATGTGGGGAATTTTTTTTTAATACTCTCTGGAAAAGATTGAGATGTAAGAGGCCATAAAATATTACCTCAAAGATTAGGCCAATATAAAGATGGAAGAAAAAAATTATATAATCTGGCTATTGAACTCTACTTCAGTTTTGAAAATATCCTCTGTAACAAAGTGCCAGACCTTTGAAGAATTTTTTCCTTTAAGTCCCATTACTTGGCAGAGTCTATGGAGCCAGGGAAGCACCCAGCGAATTTCATCTTTATTTCATCATATTGCCCAATAATAAAAATGTTCAAACAAAAGGAACTAAGATTAAACAATCTAACTTACTAAATGACAGCTTTCTAATTATTTCACTCTGTTCTCTTCACAGAAAGATTATATAAATGTAAAATATAAAATTTTATCATAATTATATAAAAATAATGCAAAAATTCTCATTCTACTTATTTTGCATTTAGGCAGCAATCATTGAAAGTAACTCCTATCTATATGAAAGTTTCATCTCAGAAAAAAGGTACAGCATCAAAATCAGAGCAACAGATGCAGGCTTTTGTTTAGTAAGCCCAAACTGGGGAGAGTGGAGTACACCTGTGGAGTTTGGTAAGAATAAAAATCCCTTCCTTGACCTTGTTCAATTATTACCTATCTGCCTCATTTTTTACTTCATGCTTAATAATGGAACCACATTGATAATTGCACATTAATTTCTTAGGACAAAGGAAGTGGAAGAATTGCCATATCTCTTACTATTAGGGGGTTCTCCAATCATTCCTGGGAGACAGTGCTTCTTGCACAGGGGTAGTGAATGAAGCAGATCTTTTTGAGGTCTGTTGCCAGCTGTTTTACTTCTTCCATCTCTGCTCCTAATTTTATAATCTCCTTTTTTCCTGCTGTTGCTCTCTGGCACCTTGGATATCTAAATACTCTGTAGGACTCAGCTCCTCAGGTTTCAGGTTCCTGTGGACAGTCCACATACTCTTCAGCTACTCTATTCCTTTGCATGCTACAGGGCAATGAGGTGCTGAGCTAAAGAAGTCATCCCTGCATGCAGTGTTTGACACCCTGATGCAAAGCAGATTGCACATAGCTGTGGAATCATTCATGTCCTGTGATACTAACCAACACTTTGATGATTGCTTGGTTTTCAGGAACACACCAACTTACATCTACTTCATCATATATGCTGTTTCTGATACCAGGGCTGGCAGCAGGTCTCACATTTTTCCTTTACATTACAGTGTAAGCCTTATTTTCTTGTGCAAAATTTTTAATCTATAGTTGAAATAACACTTCCCCCAACAGAAATTTTCTGGCTTCTTTTTAAAGGAGACAAGGAAGGGAGAAAAATGACATTGAGCTATACTAGGAATCATCCGCTGGATGTTCCTCAAGTATGCTATATACTTCTGATTCCCAACTTTCTTATCCACTTGATTAATATAACACAATGTTTTCCGATACCTGGCCAAGGCCTTTTATCAGTACCTCTTTCCCACCATCAGACCCTGCAATGTAGAGGGGTGGTGCATGAAATTTTTTCCATGTTTTGACAATGTTTCCTTTTCATATACTTAAAAAAGCAACTTCCTATGAGGCCTTAGTAAGTCATAAAATAAATTGTTGTCATGCAAATTCCGAACAACAAAATTATAATATTGTATTCAGCCTATGTAATTTTTAGCTACTTTTGAATTAGAAGAATACTACTTTTGTCTTAGAGAAATAAAATAGTACTTCAGGAGCATTATTATACAGTATGTGTTCATGTGTTTGCAAAATAAGTCTTTTCTTCACCAAACCTTTTCATCACTGTAGAAGGGCTTATTTGAAAAAAACATCTGATACAGTACCACAGCCAAGAGACCCATTCCGTGAGCCCTCTCCAATGAACTTCCAGGTATGCTTTGTTTCCATTTGCCTGAAATTTAAAAAATTTAGTCTCAAAGGCATGACCTGACTGTCAGAAAGATGCACACAAGTAAGAATCAAATTTCTTTCTTTTTCTTGTTCTTGGGATATGGACAGAGAAAGTCCACACACAAATAACTTGTCTGTTTTACCTTTTCTATTACAAAATAAATGTCATCTGTCTACCTGGTGAATTGGAGAAAATGCAGTTTCACCCTGCCATCCCTATAAGTCATATGCTATCACTAAAATAATGCTGAGCATAAGTTTCTCAGCACAACAATAATGCAGAAGCAGGCAGGGAGAGAAGGGACAAAGAAATCGTCAGTAGTTTTGCCATACTAGTAGTTGGCAATTATGCTGAAGGCGGTAAACGTTTCTAGGGTATGCTAAGCGAGAAAGTAGAGCAGAATGTTGAGAGGTGCTAAACTTACGTGGAACACTGGAATGACTCATGAGAAGGAACAAAGAGACACTGCAGGAGCTGCCCTTCTAGAGAGCATGTTGCAGTTTGCTGCAATTTTCAAAGTCTTTAGGTTGGCTGCAGGCAAGTCTGGAAGACAAAATTTGTATGCAGAAATATGCTGAATAACTGGCAAGCCTTTATAAATACTTTTATTTTCTCTCCCTTCATCATGTTATCTTTTCTATACTTTAAAAGATTATTTTTCCAGCTTTTCAGTCAAAAAGACATTGTTCCTCTTTGGGAGCTTCCCTCATATGGAGGGAAGACCTGTACATGTCTACCTTGGTCTTCTAATTGACACAGTCCTGCTACAGGTTTTATACAATAAATACAAATTTGAATGACAGGGGATTAATAAATCATGACTAATTTCATGCATGAAACACTAACAAAATGTCACCTTCTTCCTTTAATAGGCAGAATATATTAATCTATTAAAACAAGAAGAAACTGAAGAAATAGCAAATATTGAAGAAGAGATGGAATGCAAGTGAAATGAGCAACTTGATTTTTTTCAAGCTTATATACCTAACTGGCAAAAATTAAGAGGTTTTTTATATTCTCTCACTCCTGGAACCAGGGAGAAGAGTATTGGCCATAAAGACAATTCCAAGATCTTATCTCTAAAAGACTCCTTGTATTTGGTTGCATTTTCTATGAACAGTTAAGTTTGGACTATTTCTGGTTTGTATTATGATTAAGACTGCAGTATTTCAGAAGAAAAATATTTCAGTATTGCTTTGGAAGCTATTTTATTTTTTTTTCAACAACATGCAAAAGAATAAGAACAACTAAACTTAAGGGGTTTATTCAGGATCTCCATTGGTTCAGTGTCTCAAAAAAGGTACAGTCATACTGAGATTGTGATCAGGAATGAAATTTGACATCTACATGACAGCCCTCTGTATGAAGACCCGCCAAGATCAAACCTCTTAAGAAAGATCACTTGTTCATACAGAGTAGTATTAAAAAGTTCTGGATACAATCTTCCCATAAGTCTATTTGTTGTGTCCTGTTTTTCATCCCTTCCTATCTGTGTTAGATGAAAAAATTACTTAATATATGATTGCTAACAGGTAGCAGATGTATATACATATATGTATATTTATTGAGTGGGAAATATTGGAAATTGAGCATTTGAACTCTCCAGCAGAGGCCTGTCACTTGCTAAATTGTAAATGGTACAGGCTAGTTGTGTGCTTTTATAACATCTGGATGAAACAGAAGCATAACAGCCTGAATCCTCCAATGAATAAGGAGATATGAAATAAAACCCTCAATTTGGGTGCTAATCACATATTTTGACTTTCCTTTTGCATGAAATTTAATATGAGTCAGTCCTGCCCTGCCAGCCAGGAGGGTCAACCTTGTCCTGGACTGCATCAGGCACAGCAGGGCCAGCCAGGCAAGTGAGGGGATTGTCCCCCCTCCGAAATGGGACAGCCTCACGCCAGCTGCTGGGGGCAGTTCTAGGTGCCATAACATAATAAAGATATAAAGCAATTAGACAGTGTCCAAAGAACGGCTACAAAGATGATGAAGGACCTTAAGCAGAGGCTGTATGAAAAGTAGTTGAGGCCATTTGGTCTGTTCAGCCTGGAGGAGACTGAGAGGAAACCTCATTGCAGTTACAACTTCCTTGTGAGGGAAAGCAGAAGGGCAGGCACTGATCTTTTCTCTTTGGTGACCAGTGACAGGACCCAAAGGGATGGCCTGAAGCTGTGTCAGGAGAGGCTTATGTTTGGTATCAGGAAAATGTTCCTCACCCAGAGGGTGTTTGGGCACTGGAACAGCTCCCCGGGGAAGCGGTCACAGCACCAAGCCTGACAGAGTTCAAGAAGTGTTTGGACACTGCTCTCAGGCACATGGTGTGACTCTTGGGGCTGTCCTGAGCAAGGTGAAGAGTTGAACTCAATTACTTTTGTGGGTCATTTCCAACTCAGGGTATTCTATAATTCCATCAAGTCTCAAGATGGTTAAAGTCATCTCAAATAGCTGAAATCCCATCATGGAAAATAAATTCTTCTCAGTGATAAAATTCCACTAGATCAGGTTACTGTCAAGACACCATCTTTGGAACTAAATTTTTCTATGGTTCTGTGTTTCTAAATGAGCTTTCCATAAAAATTTATTTTTAATGTCTTTTTAAAACAGAACTAGAGAAGGATCCTTATACTTAAGTTATAATTGAAAAAAGATAAAAAACGCCTGCATTAAATGGGAAAACTAAAGCCAACACTCACTGTAATCTAAGGACAATTAAACAGATACAATCTATTGGATCCTCTCCATCTTGCTTCAGAGTTGATCATGGCCGTTGGTGCACCCCTTACATCCCCAGTGCTTTCACTGTGAAAGCTGCTGAGACAGAAAAGTCATTAAGAAAACTTGTTCACTACCAGCATACTAATACCTATCTATGAAACATTGGAGGTGGTAGTAGGTGTGGAACTAAGGTATCACTTTCCCATCCCTGGGCAAAGACCTCAAAATCAGGGGGAAGAATGGTCAGGCTTTAGAATCTTTTAACTAAGTGACTTGCATGCTCACACATGAAGAAGTCCTTCATTCTGGTGTCCTATGGCTATTCCTCTGTTGTGTGCTAAAAACTAGAAAGCTCTTGATGCAAGGAAAAATTTAATTGTCTACTCTACTATTTGTATTTTTGTGACATACACAAAAGCTGTAACACACCAGTACAGCAAAACACCAGACAGCTCTTCTGAGCACTCCTGTTTTTGTTGGAGCAATAAATTATTCTTCAAGTTTTTTGTGAGTTTTAAGCAATGTTTGGTTTGATACTTGTTGGAAACTGTGGTATTGATGATTCCGAGATTGTAAAAAGTCGCTGTCTTTCTGCCCCATTGACAAAGAAGAAGTCATAATTTGTCTGTGCTGTTTTCAAGGTTGTTTATTCTTGCTTATCTCTAACATGTTCTGCTGCCCTGCCGCAGCTCTGTCCTGCAGGGCAGCATGTGGGGCTCTGCCCTCAGTGGGACATTACAAACATTATATACCAGAAACTACCTGTGCTATATTTACAATAATGTGCCAATATCTATCATCTGTGTTGAACAATGTGTCCCCAAACTAAACCAATAGAAAAATACCAACACTACAGTGAAACATGGAGGGCATGAAGGAGGAGAAAAAGGACAAGACTCAATTTCCTCCATCTTGCCCCCTTTGAACCCCTAATCTAGAAACCTAAAACTTTACTTTTGCACCCATGCCACACTTAATTATTACTCATATCAAATACTCAGAGCTTGTAATTCATCCTGTAAGATTGAAAACTCTTTTCCATGGACAGAGTTCAGAGACAGTGTCTCTAGGGGCTCTGTACAGGAGGGTTCCTGACCCCTGCCAGGGTCCCAGGCCCTCCAGGGCAGCCAGAGGGAAGCTCTGGATTCCCACAGATACTGTTTCTGCAATGACTTCAATCCCTGTAGAGCCAAAAGTCAGTAAACAGTCCTAGTGTCTCTGCCCAGGTTTCTCTTCTCTCCTTTATTTTTTTTTCTCTTTCTCTTCCTCTTTCTCTTTCCCTTCTTCTTATTTTGCTTCCCACTCCTGAGTGATATCAAGGCCACTAAAGTTGTCTGGTCTCTGAAAGATGACAGACTTTGGTAGCACCCTTAGTAGAACCCTCTTTTCTTAGGAATTCTTAAAATATGTTTCATTTGTTTGCATTTTTGAAAGCCTTAGGTAAGGAGTTTGCTTAAATATAGACAAGTAAAGAAATCCCCTGGGTAGGACAGTTCCCTTTTCTGCAAAAACACCACTGGCCTTCTGAGCTGTTTGGATTGTTCTGCTGCAGTAATTCCAGTTTAAAGAGAAAGCAGCCGAATCAAAACCTCAAACTCCACTCTTCCTCACTGTGTTTCAGAGATGTATATTCTGAGAGAGCACACAAAACCACACTGCTTCCCTGCTGCCTTCTCTGCAGGCTCAAGGGATCTTCATAGTGGGAGTATGGAAAAGCAGGCAAACAAAAATTCTGACTTCCTTAATTTTCCAGAGTCCCATTTGACTCTCCATGACATTTCTTGCAGCTCTGGTGTTATTATTTGGGTACTTGTCACTCCCCTTCTCCATGAAATGCAGTATGTTACCACCACAAAATTGAGTGCTTTCTTCCAAGGATGAGAACACAATGAACTGTGGGGTTTTACATTTTTTGTGATCAGAAATCCTTTCTTCTGTCTATACAGCACAGTCAGTGTTAAAAAAAAAAATATGTACATGGTTTTGTATGGAATTTATTTAATCTGGAAGTACAGTGAAACTTCTGAAAATGGACTGCTTTTTCCTCCAAACAACTGTAATGGGCTCAGAACTGATGTCCAAGCTTTCATTTGCTTTGTCTGTAGACTTCTATAATGTGATGGGGGTAATCATAGTGATTCTCACCAAAACAAGCTGCGTATTTGATTAAATCTGCTTTTGGTAGAATATCCACCTATACATACATGCTTGTCATTCCCACCCTTTGTCTCTTAGATAAGCTTCAAAAAAATTTTGTCACAGCATATGAAGAGAGTGAATGTCCATTAATTGGTCCTTGTAGAGCTAACATTGCATTAGGTCTTTAGCTCTGGAACCACAAAAGACCAGGCAAGGCTCTGTTGATTCTCTCATGGTTCTTGATTCTATGGATGACTGAAGTTCTGGATGCTCAAAGGGAGTTATTAATCTCCTCACTTAACACTGAGCTATTAACAGATATGACTAAATGCATGAACACAGCCACAGAGTGACACTTAATACGTCAGTTCTTTTTTTGTGCCTTGCTCTATGATTTTAGTACTGCATGTGAGCAGAAGTGAGGTAGTTTTTTTTTTTCCTTTTGGTTTTTTTTTTTTTTTTTGGTAGAGAATAATATTGCAGTCAAAAAGTTTCCAATATGATGAGTAGACTTTCTTCACTTCACCTGTTCACTTTATACAACATGTGTTGAGGAGAAGAGGCATGTCAGATATGCACTTTGTGGCGTTAGCTGGCCTCAGCAACAACTCAGTATAACTAATATTTACAATCAATATGAGATAATGAGCCCACAAAATTACTTGCCACTTCTAGCACATCAGTCATCAATTTCACACTCCAGCCAGATCCAGGAAGCAGAAATACTCAAAAGCCTGGACATTTCTGGGTCTCTAGAAGGTAAGCTCTCTTTGTCTTCAAGGAAAGACGGCACTGAGCTACCTTTGGCTTCCTCTCTTGGACATAACTCTTTCCTAGACATCTGTGAATAGCTGATACATAAGAACTACTGCTTCTATGGTTAAATCATTCCATATGCCAATACAGAAGCTATAGGATTGGAATGACTGCAGCATTTTGATAAAGTCAATTTCTGGAGCATCCTGGAAGACTACTGAGCAGCAGGTGATTTTTTCCAAATATAGTAGCCAAGAAATGGGAGTGTTAGAAAAGTACATGGACTGTGCTCTTTCCTACAAGTTTTTATCTCCAAGCAGAAAGGATCTGCATGTTTTTCAGAAGAAAATATTGACATATCTTGGTGTTTGAAAAATGTAATATTTTCTAGTGATGTTTCAATGTCAGTGTGAAAAAATGAAATTACTTTACATGGATTTTAAATCTCCATATTAAGCAAATTACATTGCCTTCTCTGAAATAAAGCCTTTCAGGGTATATAGGAGCTTTTAATGTTTTACACTGTTGATAATAACCCTCTTCTTTAGAAAATGCATGGCTGTGCCTCAAGAAGGTAAAAAATGCTCAACAGCAGGACCTGGAGCAGCTGTTTTCAGTTGGAAGCTTACTACCTGCAATTTTTTCTGTTTTAGTGGCAGTTTGTAGTTTGGCTATTTTTGCATTGGGAGAAATGAATTGAGGACAAATGCACATCACATTTTTTGACAGCGATATATCTTATCTGAAGACATCATATCCAAGATTTGAAATCCCCTTTTGTCTATCTCCTTACAGAATAATTACAGTTTACATTGTAATTTCCCTGAGAACCCCCACAGACCTGGCTATCCTTGCCCATTCCCTGGAGCTTCCCCCATCCTGCCAAGCTGGGCCCACCCTCAGGCCCATGGCCCATCCCAGTCCCCAAGGATGTGCCTGGTGCTCTGGCTTGAGGCTGCCCTGGATCCACAGCTGCCCTCCATGGAGAACCCTCATCTTCCATCCCCCAGAGATGGCTTGTAAGGAGAGATGCTTTGTACTTCTCAGTATTGTTTAGAGCTCGAGAGAAATACCTGTAAAAGTAAATTTATGCACTTTCTGGATTCCCAAACACCACCATACTCTGGTGCAACAAAAGGGGAAATTTAACCAGCTAACTTCTTGTTCACGCTATAAGAAATCCCGAGTTGGGCAATCACAAAATTTGAGATGAATCATGGGGGAAGTGATGAATATTTATTTTGTAACACTTCCGATGCTAAGATGGTTCCCCAAAACACAAGCGGCAAGGGAGACAGCCCTATTTATAGTTATACAGCTTTTTAAAATATAGTCTTTCCATCTTCTCTGAACCTGAAGATTATAATAGAAAGATAAACAAGGTAAAGACATTTTGAAATAAAAGGTAGGTTCCATCTTTTTCTTTCCAATTATTTTGTTTGCTGAGGTATTTACTGAGTCTCTAGGAAGTCCAAGACTGGAGGGATGTCTGGATGTCCGAGACAAAATCTAAAAAGCTGTCAGAGGACTATATGGAACTAAACTGAATGATGTTATTTTTACAAATAAAGTACCACCTTCATGCTAAGAAAGATCCCAGACAATTTTTTTTTTTTTATTGGGTTTAGTACTGAATTTTTAGAAGTGAGAGACTGTTCCTCAGTCATAGAATCATACTTACAGAATGATTTGGGTTGCAGAGGACCTTGAAGTTAATTTAGTTCCAACCCCTTCAGGGATGGGCTCCAGTACACCTGGTTGCTCAATGCCCCAACAAACCCAGCCTCGAATACTTCCAAGGATGGTGCATCCAAGATTATCTGGGCAACTTGTTCCATTGCCTCACTGCTTCACAGTAAAGGTTTTCTTCCTTGTATCTGATCTACATCCTTGAAAGCACATGAACTAATGCCCTCAGCAAACTTACCACATTGACATTCAACATTGGGTAATTTGAGTTGATGAATATGACTGTGACCTATTTTGACATTTTCTGCTTGCAGCTATTTACGCACTTGCCTGACATCTACTCATCCCTAACTTTGTACATAGCAGAAAAGCAATCTTTAGACCTTAAAATAGCAGCCATCCAATGTATGTCTATAAAGTACATGCAGTGCTCCTGAGATCACCAGCTCTTTTATCACACAAATTGTTTTGTTTCAGCTATAATCACATCTTTGGAGGATTTATCCATAAAAAAAAAATCTTCATTGAATCTAGCAGGGAAAATATCTTTCAGTGTTAGCAAAAAAAAATTAAATAAGTAATTCCTAAACCAAACAATAACTATCTGGAGTCTAACATACCTAAGTGTGTGCCATGATCCTCCAGCTTGGAGAAGTCTCATGATTTTTTCTCATCATGGATATTCCTGTGTTTGCAGGCATGAATGGGTCAGCCATTGAAAACTTCTCCTGTGTGATTTATAACATCTGCTTCATGAACTGCACTTGGCAGGCAGGAAGGGATGCTCCAGCAGACACACAGTATTTTCTCTACTGGCAGAAGTCAAGGTAAGTAGATCTCTTTGGTGCAGGGAATTCTGATTTCTCATTCAACACATCACAGTGCCTGTGTTTAACTAAAATACTTTGCTGTGTGCAGAGATGAAGAGGAGAGGGAATGTGAGCTTTACATTAAAGACGAAAATTGCAGAAATATGGGATGTATCTTCCAAAATGTCAGCATAGGGATTGAAAAAGCTTACTTCCTGGTGAATGGATCTAGCAAAGATTCCCTGATCCAGTTCTATGATGAGTACATTGACCTGTATAAAATTGGTAAGTAAATAATTTATTTCAGTTTTATTTTAATTATTGTATGAAAATAGTTGGGCATTTATCCCTGAGAAGGAACTGTGTATCATGTCTCAATAAGAGACTGTGGCTTCCTCAAGAAAACCTATTCCCCAAGCAAAAGACAAAGAGGATAATTAAACAGGAAAGCTCCACAGCTGCATTCTGTCTCATATTCTTTAGCAATCTATTCTTATGAGTTTTAGGTTTTTCTCAAGCAAAGTCTACAAGACTTAAAAAACTGTTCTTTCCCCTGCAGTCCTTTCAGTGATGGCCAAACACCTCTCAAGAGAAGAGAGAGGAGACTTTTTAGAAGTTTATCTGAGCACTAATTTCTGCTTTTTTTTGCCATTGGGGATGATATACAGGACATCATACTCTGGAGTAAATGAATTAAGACATGTACAACATACCTTAGGCATGTGGCGCTGTACTTGAAAGCATCCTGTGCAGTTACTGTTACTGCAGCAAAGTCTCACTGGAAATGTCACAAATGGTTCTGGTATTGTGCTAAAAGATTGAACAAAAAAGTCTTTGTGCTATAAGAAGAAATTGAGCTGTAATGTCACTCATGGCAGATAAAACAAGATTGTTCTTTGACCAAGTAGCCCATCACAAACAGGTCAGGCCTGTCCCTAAAGACTGATGTAAAGCAGTATTCTAGCTGTTGCTAAACTTTCCTCTATCAACCTTTTGTCACCCTTTCTGCCATGAGTGACTGTCTTCTGCTGTTCCAATAATCAAGTCATTGGCATTGATCAAGATATAAAGGTCCTCATACTTTTGCTCACATCTGTGAAATGAGGGGCAATACATGAAGAAGTTGGTTAGACTATTAAAAATTGAGTGTCTTTCTTAAATTTGTATGGCTATTTCTTTTGCAAGGAGGGAACAAACTGCATAGTTCACAACAGATTGAAGGCAACACTTTCATATCACAGAAGAATAATGAGGAGGCTTAAATAAAAAAAAAATCTTTGAATTTCTTACTTTAGGGATAGCAGCACCTAGTTGAGCCACAGTAATAAACATTCTCCTAAAACAAAGACAGCATTTTACCTTGCTCCTCTAGAAAAATAAATGGAGGGAATTGTTTCTTTCTATGCTCCTATATCATGTTCCCTGTCTTACTCCCTTTTTTCCCCCCCTATGAACCTGTTTACATGATTTAGAAAACTTTGGTCTTTCAACTATTTCTAATAGGTCCTAAGAAAATAGATACAAACAAGTATCTTTCATAGAGGTGTTACTTGCAATTTCACCCTCTTTCATCAAATCAAAAAGTGATCAAGTGATTTTAATTATTTGAATTCTTGGTTATATCATTTCAGAAAAGCTCATGCCTCCATCAAATATCACAGTCAACTGTGATGAAATTAAAAATGATTGCATAATTCAATGGCAACGGCCACAAATAAGTCATTCTAACAAAGACATGTGTTTTAAATATGGAATTAACATAAAGTATAAGGTAAGAATGTCTTCACAAACACTTAACATTAATTCATATATTTGCATTTACCAAAACACATGAGTGAAAAGTAAATAAGTCTCTCTTCTATGATGTAGCTTTCCCCATACATAGCACCCTATTAATTGTGACTGCACTTTTCAGGTCCATATCAAATCCTGCTCTGCCATACTGCCCCATCTTTTTAAATTCCTGCCTCCTTGAGTAAGACACTGCTGGAGAGACACTGGATATCTGGGACAGTCCCAAAGGAGAAGCATGGTTAATCAAGATTCAAATATATCACAGCTTTGCCTGTGACAGCACTTAGAAAAGGCACTTCTTTCACTAAAACTTGTTGGAGTTGCCCTGGATTGGAGTATTTCCAGTGGAAACTGGATCTCTGTGGAAGGGCAGAGCTGGGCTTTAAAAAGTGGAAAAAGAAATGTGTATTCACATAAGAATTTTGAGTTAATATAAATGAATTAAATAACTCCATGTATGAAATGAAAATAGCTTACCCAGATATAAGCATCACACCTATGGCCCAAAAATTGAAGATTTATAATGACAAACAAAAGGAAAATAAATGTGACAGAAAGCAGAAAGGCAGTGTGGTTAAGGACAGGACTTGACAAGTCTTTTGGCAGCAACAGGGAAGGGATGAGCTTGCCGGGCTCCGCTGCAGGGGAAGATGCAAACCACTGCGGCAGAATTGCACCGAGAGGCCACAGGGTGGCAGACAGAGACTACAAAGGAAAAAATATTCCTGAGCTGCAACCAGATTTGGCCGCCTATTTAGTGGTTGATTGAAGGCATTCTGGAATTTGGGATTTCTTATTCTGGGTTGGGTTTACTATTTCACAGACGTGTCTTTGCAAGCCCAGCTAAATGCCGTGAAACAACATTACCTCTCTGAATCACTTGGCTGTTGCAACAAAGAAACATTATTGAAAACTCTGCCTGACATTGGAATAAAATCTATTGCAGTAAAGCAACAAATACTTTTTAATAACTTTTAATATATGTAATACTCATTTTATAAAAAATACTCAATACATACCTTGTCTGAACTTTCTAGCTTTTTTTCACCATCATTAGCAGTTTTCACCAAGCTAATTATGTCAAGGTACAGCAATTATTCCAGCAATTGAGCAGTGTAGGCTCCTTTGACACTTATCAGATGCAGCTATAATAACAACTTTGGAAGATTTATCCGTAAAAAATTCTCTGACAAATTTATTGCTTTATCACTGACAACTCTGCTGGGCTGTCCTCTGATGCCTACACACAAGTTCTCTTACTGGTTCATTATTTATCCCAAGACAGAGCCCTGTGCACACAAGGCACTCCTTTAGACACAGTAGAAGGCCCAGTTGCCCAAAACCGTTTGCAAGGATGCAATCACCCTCCTTGGTGAGATGTATCCCATGCCTGCCCAGTAGCCCCTCTTTCTCAAAAAGGAGCCCAAGGTATAGAAGACAAAGCCCTGCCTGTGACAGCAGTTATTCAGCCAGGTGTTGACCTGCTGGATGACTGCAATTCTGCTCAAGCTTTCCCTCTCACTGGAAGGCCTGTGGAGACACCATCTAATCTTCCTGCTCTTAACCATCCCCCTAGTGCTCTGTAATCACCCCTGAAAACTTTCAGGTTACCCCTGCACCAAAAAGAAGAAAAGGGGTTCATTGGCCAGGTATTTCTCCTAGATTGATCCCTGTGCATAATTTAGCTTGACTGCAGATACTAGAAGATGTCCTGGAAGCAGATTGCTTTATAAAATCTTAGAATGGTTTGGATTTGAAGGGGTCTGAAAGGCCATCTAATTCAATCCCCTTGCCATGGCAGGAACACCTTTCACAAGTTACTCAGAGCCCCATCCAGCCTGGCCTTGAACACTTCCAGAGACATGCACAGCTTCTCTGGACAGTCTGTCCCAGTGCCTCACCAGCAGCACCATAAAGAATTTCTTCCTAATATCTAATCTAAACCTACCCTCCTTCATCTTAAGGCCATCCCCCATGTGCTATCAATGCATATCCTTGTGAAAAGTCCCTCTTAAGCCATCCTGTAGACCCTTTAGGTGCTGGAAGGTGCTGGAAGCTCTCCCCAGAGCCTGTTCTTCTGAACAGCCTTCTGCTCAGATGCCACATGAGTATATGCATGCAGTTATTTGAAAAAATAAGTCTGGATTAATTGAGTTTTATTCTAAAATGGTGTATTGCAAAATAATTACAAAAATACATATCTAGTTGTCTAATGGAGAGGACATAGTCTGCAGCCATTTGTTGTGTGTTGTCAGTACATTATGCGGTAGTTTTTACGACTATTCAAATGAAATTAGCAACTTTTATTCTATCAAAAATGTAGTGGAGGGCAACCTAAAATATCTGTGAATCCATGCTAGTTGCAAATATTTTCATCAAAAAGAAAACAAAATATTTACATAATATTTGCAATTACATCAAATGGCACTTATTGTAATGTTAAAACATTAAATGAAAAAAAAATATGTTTATTTCACAGATTTTTTTTTTTCCTGATGTTTGTAAGAATAAACTTATAGTTTTCATTTAGGTCTGGTTTGCTTTGTGTTTCAATCTGAAATAAAATTTATATCTCAACTGTGATGACAAGGAAAACAAATCTTTCCATAACAGAATTAATTGCTGTATAAGCTTGGCAGTGTAGATGAATTTGATATTAGATACTAAATGTTAGACAAATCGCAGTTCTTCTGAACAAATCATAAAGTACATAAAAAAGAGAATGCAGAAAAATGGGACAGTAGAGAAAAAATAATTATGATTGAAACATTAAACAAGCAATTGTAAAAATAAAGTTAGTTGCTTTTCTTTTTCTTTCAATTTACAGGATAATTCTAAAAGAAAACTCATATATACTTCCATACAGGTGAGTGTGTTTCTTTATTAATCAGCAATACATGTTCATTTCATTGCAACTGTGAAAAGTAAATAGTCTGCAAATACCTTTAAATCAGTATGTGCTCAGTGTCCTATGCTTTATGGAAACCTTATTTATGGATTTCATTAATACATCAAACTGCTAAATCATCATGGCATGTGCAATTTATTATACATTCAGGGTAAGAACTTTATTGCTCTTCTGTAAGTATTTTGAAAAATCTCCCATTTTTCATTATACTGTCCACTCTCCTCAAATATTTGGAACAGCCTTTGAAGTTACACATCACTGACTACAGAGAAAAGATAAAGTATCTCTTAGGAATTCAATTTTGTTTATGAAAAACATAGACCACAAAAGTCCTTTTGGGTTGAAAGTTGTCATCCAGGTATGCTGCACCTCCTTTTGCACATCCACCTCTACACAAAAGACACCAAGAGCAAGAGTATTACATTAAATTCTGGTAACACTGAGTATTGCAGTCATCTACTTATTTTACAGGTTTGGCTGGAAAGTTATGCTTTTTCTGAAAATTCATAATGCAGAGACTGAGGCAGGTGCACAGACACCTTATTCCTCAAATCCCTCAGTTCTAGCAGCACTAAAATGAGATGGTTAAAGATGGTTTTGTACCTATCTATGTGCTTAGGGAATTTATCAATAAATCAAACCATATCATAAGAAATCACAGGTTATACATTTATAGTGTAAAAGATGAAATGCTTCTAGATGTAAAAAGTTACGAGTGTCACGTTATTTTTGAGATACATATTTGTATATAAATTTATATATTATATAAATAATGATTTTTTTTTCTCTGGAACAGCAGTCTTCTTTAATAAACAATGTTTTCATAACCTCTTAAAAGTTTCATTGGTAAATGGCACATGCATATTGTCAACACAGGCGTGGAACAAAGAAAAGCATCTCAGTTTTTTGCATGTTTTTTAGGAAGGGGGAAATAGTAACATATTTCTAAGACCAAATACAAGAAAGAAGTATATCTTGAGAATGAGAGCAGCTGGCAGTGCCTGCTTTGTGAACCCAGCCTGGGGGGAATGGAGTGCACCTATTGAATTTGGTAAGAACAAATCCATGCCCTGGGCTACTCTTCCCCCCAGCAATGTCCTGTCTACCTCACACATTGTCACACACCTATGGACACACACATGTAAAAAGGATTGGCAAACATGTAAAAAGGATTGGCAAAGGCTTTGCTTCATGCCACACAACAGAGAAGAGTGGGAAGAGACAATCACTCTCTTAACATTCTAACAGTGGAAATAACATTAAAAATTACACCTTTGCAGCTGTAGTAAGTTCCTGCTTACTCCAGGGGGTGGACAAATAGGATAAATGTTAATTCTTCCCATCAGATATTTTTGCTAACGTGATAAATGACAGAATTCATTTTTATACTGAGTGAAAACTTTCAGGCTGACATTCACCACAATCAATCACCACAGCAGATGTTTGACACAGTGTGAAGTTCAGGAAGACTGAGTTCAAGGTGCTGCACCTGGGTCAGGGCAACAGCTGGTGTCAATATAGTCTAGGGGATGAAGGAAGTGACAGTAACTTTTCTGAGAAGGATGTGGGGGTGTTGGTGGATGAGAGGCTGGACATGACCCAGCAATGAGTACTCACAGCTCAGAGAGCCAAACGTGTCCTGGGCTGCATCCAAAGCAGCGTGGGCAGCAGGGGCAAGGAGGAGATTCTGCCCCTCTGCTCTGGTGAGACTGCAGAGACCTGCAGGGCTGCATCCAGCTCTGGGGCCCCAGCACAGGGAGGCCTGTTGGAGCAAGTCCAGAGGGTCACAAGAAAGATCAGAGGGCTGGAGCACCTCTCACAGTCTGAGAAAGCCTGGGTTATTCTACCTGAAAAAGAGAAGGCTCCAGAGACACCCTGTTGTACTTGTCCAGTACCTAAAGGGGCTACAAGAGAGCTGGAGAAAGATTTTGTGCAAGGACATGTAGTTATAGCTCAAGGGGAAACGGCTTTAAACTGAAAGACTGTAGATTTAGGTTAGATTTTAGGAAGAAATTCTTCACTATGAGAGTGAAGAGGGACCGGCACAGGTTGCCCAGAGAGGTTGTGGGTGCCCCCATCCCTGAAAGTGTTCAAAGCCAGGCTGGGGCTCTAAGCTGGGGCTCTGCTCTAGTGGAAGGCATCACTGCCTAAGGCAGAGTGGCTGGAATTAGATGATCTCTAAAAGTCACTTCCAACCCAAACTATTCTATGTTCTGCAACTCTATAATCTATTCCTCATATGATTACTACTACTACTACTACTACTACCACTGCTATTACTACTAATTTATGAATGGTTCTCTTTCAGGAAGTGAGGAAATTATATCTTCTTCAGTATGGATTTTACTTGGGGTAGCAGTTGCAACACCTTTAATGGCAATCATCACAATTTTTTTCTGCAAAAGGTAACTTTATTTATCTTATTTTCTCTGTGTGTGTAACATCTAAAGCTTTTAAACAAATAAAGTGGAGGTGTCTCTGTAGGATAGGTAAAAGAAACCCCATAAGTGAAACAGAAACAGAAAAAAAAAGTATATTCTCCTATATGATGCATTTTGCATAGAAATATACAGTAATTCAGAGAAGATACAGCACTCTAAACTTTCAAGAGTTAAAATTTTACCCCCACTTTTCACTGTTTGTAGTAACATATCAGGACAAATTTCTTTTTCTGTCAAAGAAGGAAATTTACCACTAATAAAACTTTAATCAAAAATTAATCTATTACCATCCAAATTATTAAAATTTTGTCATATGTTCATTCTGTGTTGAGATTATGTATATTTTCAGGTCACTTCTAAGAGTAAAGAGGAATATAAGAGCTGGTTCAAGGATGCAATGGTGTTTTCACATTACAGTTATTCAATTTTAATTTTGTATTTAATACGTTTTGATTTCCAGGACTGGCTGTTGGAAGGCAGCATTCCCACAGATTCCAGGACCAAAACCTGATTTTTTTACACTGGCTGATACAAACCCAGAGGTATGTTCTCTTTCTATTTATATATTAAATATGTGAAATACATACAAACTCTACTGGCTGAATTTTTAAACAATAAGGAACTCATTATAGAGGATCACTCTTCTCTTCGCTGTATTCTGAAGAAAAATAAAAGAAAATCAGCAGGTGAGTTTTTTAAGGGCAGTCACTTGCAGTGCTCTTGCAGCAGCACGGAGTTCCTCGCATTCCAGTCTCACGGGTGCAGAGGTTCACGCTCCCATTGGCAGGTCCCAGCAGCAGGAGGGGCTGCTCACTGTCCCAACACAAGGACATGGACAATGACACAACAGGGCACAGAGAGGCAGCCAGGAACAAAACCAGCACAGCTGCCTCTACCAGTGCCTCATCAACACCAGCAGCAGTGTCTGAAATAGGTCCTAGATATCACAGTCCTCCTGCTACTCCCCATCTCCTCGCTCTCTTCATCTACAACCCCCATAAGTTCCTCACACCTCATCCCAGTGTCTGAGCCCCGTGTCCCTCCATGTGCCCCCTCCAAGCTGTCCCCTTGAGTCCCTCCAGGTGCACACCTCAACCCACTAGCAACGTACACATGCAGGAAAGAAAATAAGGTGACACAGAAAACAGTTCAAAATATGATTTTGTAAGGAAACGGGACAGACTGTGGTGGTCACACAGAGCAAAAACAGGTGAAATGCTCTCAGAATTGTGCGTAAGTCAAGGCTAACCTAACATTATGTATAAAACTAATGGAAGTTTTCATTTTCCTTTCAGCTGATGGAGAGCAAAATACAGTCAATATCATCTGAAAATGAAGAGATAGTATCAGTTGTTGACCTTGTGAGATAACCAAGAAAAATGGAGGAGTCTGAAAGTGCATTTCTTAGACAACTGCATATCCCTATGGAAAGTCTGGAATAATATATAAGCTTTCTTTACTTTCTTCTTTATCTTGCATAAAAGAGTGATGCAGCCAAGAGAGAATGATACCTCAAATGCAATCATTTTAAATGCCATTGTATTTGCTTTTAGTTTGGGCTAATTTTAACTATTCGGGTAAGTTATCCTTATCGGATATCTTCTATTTTGTAAATAAAATTAGAATATTTTATTCAACAAGTTTTAGTTACGTTTTAATCTTAAGGAAAAATAATTGTCTTTTTGTCTCATATTAAAAAGATTAATGATTAATTTATTGAGATGAATAAATTTTTTAAAATTCTGATGCCTGAATTTCATTGTTCTACTGTCAAAAATGGGTCAGTTCATATTAGAAATTTCTTTAAAGCTCTACAAGTACACATGGGAAACTAGAAAAATGAGATTCACTCAGATTTTTACACTAGACATTTGAACATTGCTAATTGATTGTTAGACTAATTTTATAATGGTACTAGAGGTTTTATTAATAGACTAAATATTCCTGGAACGATTTTCTTGCACAGGGGCCAATTCACATGTAAGAGTCCAGACACACTTTCTTAAACCCCTAAATAAAGTGAATACATGCAAACTACCTTTAGAAATTAGCCCTGGCCTGAACTAACCTCTGGACTATGTCCAGGAGCTGTTCAGGACATTACTTGTAAATCCTGGCTGAACGAATGCTGGGAACAGTTGTTCCTGGACCTGTTCCAGTGCTGGGGAGCCTTCCAGTGCTGTACTTTCTCCAGCTTATACCATAGCAGAACACAAACAGCTCTTGGCACATCTATTGCTTTTGACACAGTTAATGATTACCCTTTGGCCAAAGACTCACCTGGGAAGCTTTTTGCAGTAAGTCAGGACAAAAAAGTAAATTTCTAAAAGAGGATGAATTAATGCTGGACACACTTGTAAACCATCTTTGTATTTTTCCCAGTATGCAGGAGTAGTCAGAGTGGAAATACTCACAATAACTTGCTAAAAGAGTAATAGGATTGTAACAGACTGCACTGGTTTATAGAACCTTGCACAGCAACTCTCCTCCTGGGCAAAATTGCCAGTGAGGCATAGTTTGGCTCCAGTCCACCAAAACTTAGCCATGAGCTATGAACAGCCATTCAGTGGCTCAACCTGAGGAAGGGAAGAGTGAAGTATAATAAAGACAGAATCAAGACACTCAAGAGATGGAATGGGGGTCAAGTTAAGTAGAACCAAAACAAACTGCTCATTTTTTTTTCTGCTTTCTCCTGGAAAGGGATAACTGATTCAAGAAAGGTGTTACAGACAGAACTCTGATGAAGTAGTCCAGGCTACAATGCAAAATCACGGAATCACAGAATGATCAAGGTTGAAAAAGAGCTCCAAGTCTAACTCTGACCTAACACCACCACCTTTTCAACAAAATCATGCAATTCAGCGACACATCCAGTAATTTCTTGAACACTTCCAGGGATGGTGAGCCACTGCTCATACAGCTACAAATGGATGAGTTAAAACTAATTTAGCCACTGTTTGGGCAGCCTGAAGGTACTGGTCAGGTGATACTGTAATATCACCTTCACATCACCTAGAACCTCACCAGACATGCCATCACAACAGCATGTAAATCCCCTCATCAAAATTAATCAGGCACACTGACACACACCTTGCATCATAAATACGTGTGACATGGAAGGATGATGCTTCAGAAAGGTTACTCAAGGTGGGAGGTGGTACCCAAGTAGAGCACATTTGATGAATAGACATTTTCAGATCATGCTGAACTAGGACTACACATGTACTGGATGTGCTTCTTTTAGCCTACATAGAATAAGTAAATTCAGTCCTTTACTTAGTAGAAGATGTGTAACATGCATGCCCTGTTCCCAAGGTACTGAAAAAGCCGACAAGGACTGAGCCAATGCCAGTATGTGGTTCTAGAGACAAAATTCTGCAGCTGAGCCCTGCCTCACACATGCTCTGACTAAACTGTTAAAAAACTTGTTTTTTCACCCAAGGATTTGAAAGGGAAAATAATATGCCTTTCTAGTGAGAATCACTGGGTAAAAGTGGGCAAGACTGAGTGTCGACAGAAAAGCAAAGACGTTAAAATTTGAAGTCTGTAAATTAATTTCCTGTTGGTGGATCTGAGCACATACACTAGCAAAAAAACCCAAAAAAACCCGAAAAAAACCCACAAAACAAACAAACAAACAAACAAAACACACAAAACAAAACAAACCCATCCTACAATTTTGGTTCAATGATAGCAGATCTAAGAATAGTTCTTCCTTTAACAGACTTACTACTAAGGATCCTCCATCACTCCTTAGAAGCCTAGGGAAATCTTCACCTTCCTGCTATTGTGCCTGTGTTGGTAGAGGAAGGTAGGGGTTAAATGAACTCCTATTTGCTACAAGCATCCAAGAACAGTAGGAAATAATAAAAAAACCCCAACATTTCATGCAGATTACATAACTGCATGTCAGATGTCATGTAAAACACATGGGAAAGTGACTAACAGAGCCACATCTGAACTTGCTGGAAGTTAAAGGAAACAAAATGGATTATGCCTTTCACAGTTACATGACTGCAAAGATTTTTGCAAATTCAACAGTATATTATTCAGTAAACACTTTGGACATTTTCTTTTAATTTCTGCAGTCAAACATTTTTTCACCTAACATGATATTGTTGCCTAAGATGAACCAAACGAAAACAACCCATAGTCAGCAGTAAGAAAGTTCAGAAATTTGGGTCTGGTATTTTCCTTGACATTTCTTTTCCTGCAAATATGCAAACCAGAACGTTCTTGGCTGTTCGTATATACCTGCTAAGGACTGATCTTCCTCAAAGGAGAACCTGGGCTTGTGCAGGTGCCATAACCAACATAGGCATGGTTAAAACATAGACATGGTTTAAACATGGGCTAATCACACAACACTGATGTAATTTCCAGAACATATTATTTATGAAAATCTATTTATTTATAGAAGTGGTATTTCTATAAGCATGTTGACATACTGTGACCCTAATGAATATCTATGTGTTTTTGAGTAATGCATTTGCGTATTGTGACTATTAATGCTTAGTTCATCTGACATAACAGGAAGGAAGGAAGAGTTAGTTGCATGATCTCTTCATGTGAAGTTAACATCTGCCAATCAGGAAATTTAAGGAAGCTCAAAAGCAGTAAGAGAAATGATAAGGGAAGCTTTCTAACTTGCAGCATTTGTTACTTAATACTGTCATGCAGTAAAACAAAGCTAACTGACAGAGCAAAACTTTTACAGAATCCTGCATTTGACTAAAACTACACGTTAAAGCGTCCTTGTTGCTGTGAACCAAAATCAAAAAAGAAGAGAGTTTTTCAAAGAGGAGGTATGTATCTCTATGTTGTGTGTTGATTTTTTTGTGCCAGAAAAGATTTTTTTGCAGGATAGAAATATTTTCCAGGGATTAAGTTAGGTACAGTCATATTTGCACACGTACAAAATCTGGATTAGTGTCCTTTGAGTTTAAGGAATTCTAGAGAACACTTTGAGGATTCTTTTACCTGTTTAATTAAAAGTAGAAATGTGTATATTTCTAAAGATTTCTGCAAGATCCAAGGAAGACTATGAAATTTCTATTATATCTATTGCACTATTTAACATTTTTTATCTGACATCTGTTTTTCAATAACTGAAATATATGCTATTTTCTGTACCCTTTCTATAAATTGCTCTAACTAGAAATATTTTTCGGAGAGGAAAGAGAGATCACAAAATCATGGGATGGTTGAGGCTGGAAGGCACTTTTGGTAATTGTCCTATCCCAAGCCTTGCTTAGAGCAGGGTCAGCTATAATGGGTTGCTCAGAGCTTTGTCCAGTCAGTATCTCCAACACTGGAGTCTTCAAAGCTTTCCTGGAAAACCTGTTCAAGTATTTGACTACCTCAGAGAAAAAGACGTTCTCTTGTGTTTAAATTGAATTTCCATTATTTCAGTTTTTGCCCATTGCTTCTTGTCTAGTCAGTTGTCACCACTGAGCAGAGCCTGGCTCTTTCTCATTCCCCACAGCTGGGTATTTGTACACATGGATAACATCCTGCTGAGCCTTCAACTCTCTGGGATGAACAATCCCAGGTTTCTCAGCCTCTTCTCATACGTCAGAGCCCTTTTGCTGGACTCCCTCCAGTATCTCCATATCTTTCTTCTTCTGGGGGTTCAGAACAAGAGCCAGCACTCCAGGAACATCTCCTTTGACCTGCTGGCAGCACTCTGCCTCATGCAGCCCAGGGTGCCTTTGATCTCCAGCTCTGCAAGGGCACATTGTTGACTCATGGTCAGCCTGTGCCCTTTGCAAAATGGTTTCCAGGTAGATCTCAACCTCTGCTGGTGCCAGGGGTTGTTCCTCCCCAAGCACAGGACTCAGCACCTTCCTTTGCTGAATTCCAAAAGATTCTTGCCATCCCATTTCTCCATCTTCTCCAGGTCACTCTGAAGCAAAAATATACCCATAGCACCCACTTCTCCCAGTTTTGTATCATCTACAGGAATCAGAATACTGATCTAAAAACTGAAATAATTGTATTTAGGCAGCAAATTGATAATTATATTTCAGTGCTTGGTATGCACTGTAAGGTTTTTATTTGTATTTCAATGCTTCCAGAAAGGCTTAGCCAGTGTACGATGTTCTCCATATCTCAGCAATGTATCATTTTATCCCCACATTACCCTATGAGTAAAATACAAAGTTTCATTTCTGGAAGGGTGTCATGGGCAAAAGTAATTCTCCTGGACACATTGAAGCAAATAAGTCACTGGTCTCAGTTGACATTTTCTGGTACCATCCTGCACTCACAGCCTAAGAGCAAAGACAATAGACTTAGAGGGTAAGAATTGATAGTGCTTAAATTAGTATTTAATGCATGCCTTCTGTAGAAACCACTACAGGTTACCTGATAGTATTTTACTCCTGACACACTGATAAGGTGGATAGATTGAGTTTATAACAAACTGCCTTGGAGAGAGCTAGGGAGTGAGCTAAGAGTTGAGGAGTCTGGAAACCAGGTGCTTGAGTACCCCCCAAGGCCCTCCACTGTGTAGCAGGATAAAAACACACTTCTGAGGCTGGCCAGGGGAGAAAGAGCAGAAAAAAAATCATCCAGTTTGGGCATTTCATCCTAAAAAAATCTATTTTGATGAAATATGAGGAAATGCTTCTTACAGCAGAATATGTATGGTTCTTCTAGTCTGATCCTCCAAATAACACTCACAATCACTTTGACATGTGATTGTCTTTTCTGGTACCTTCTGGTACCTTCTGGTACCTTAATACCGAGGTGACTTCAGACCAGAGAGAGCTTTACCACACCTGTCTGAAAAGACCAGTCTGGGAGAGGGTGGAGGTCCTGGATAGAAAATTCCTACCAATACGGTGCTGGAGCCACTTGGCCACCATACAGGAGGTCTGGATTTCTCAGCTGAAGGGCTTAGAGCTCACCACAGCTCCTACATCACTCATCCTGTCTGTAGGCAGAGAAAAAACAGAGAACTTGGCTATGTGCTGGGGCATTCAGATGGCATGGTCATTTCTTATGAGGAAAGTGAATGCTTACATGCACTGCTATTCCCACTGCATGTCAGATGAAATGTCCAGAGTGTGGAGTCAATGATGCCAGCAAACATTTCTCTAAGCAGACAGGGCTGTGGATGATTCCTATGACAGTGTCCCAGATGAGCATTTCCTTGAGAAAGCATGAAGGGTACTTGCAGCATGGGGCTGCAGTCAGGTGTAGGAAACCTGAGGGAGGTTTTGAAAGAGTAGGAATAATCAAAACAGAGAGAGGGAGATCTCAAGAAAAATTAAACAAAGAAAATAAAGGAAAGGTGAACAGACAGTTGCCAGAGAATGGGAAAAAAATGCCTAGAAAAGGAACATAAGATGAGGTAAGGAAGGGGAAAATGTTGAGTGACTGAACAGAAGGGCCAAAATGGAGAAAAATATGATTAAGAGCTGACTAGAAGGACAATAGGTCTTCAGGTTCTCATGTGCATTACTGGGGAGGTCCCTGAGAGCATGGGAAAGTGGAAATAACTATCAAGACAATATCTCACAGAGAATTTCAGGGCCAGTCCTCCACACTGTACTTGAGATTCTTCAGTATCACTTCCCAGCAGCCTTGGCCACATCCTTACTGTAGTATGATGATTTACAAATATGGATGCAGCATGAGATAAGCAGGTTACAGTGAAGAGCCTGTCTCTGTTGCAACCCCTGCATGGTATACTGGCCTAGCTTGAATCCTGGGGACATGGTGGATATGAAACATCAAGCCAATTTCCAGATAATGTGACATGACTTCTGAAAATATTCAAGACTATAGAATGACTTGTTTTCAACATCAGGGTAAGTTTTTGCTTTCATCACAAGTGCAGTCAATTTGAAATCAGCATTCTGAGATGACCATAAATATTAATATAGAAGGGCTGAATAGTAACAAAATATTAGCACGTTTCTCTTTTTCATGACTTTTAAAGAATTTAATTCAGTTTTAGAATTACCCTTAGTATTATCTGTAATCAAGAGAATTGCTACTATGAAGCTGCACTGCTAGACAATGCTAAAGCAAATGAAAATTTAACCAAAGTTGCATCTTCATGTAGAAAAAGAAAATCTGGGAATAGATAAATCTTTTCTAGAGTTTTAACCTCCTTGGAGGAAAGGAAAAATGTACATAAGATGAGAAATGTTTGACAAGAGCTGATGCCAAAGTTTGACTAGCTTTGCTCAGTCCACCACACCACATGAATGAATGTGGAGTCACCCTTTGCAGGTGCTCACATTTCCTTAGTAATTTAAATTGCTTCCAGTGATGTGGGACATCTGATTCCTTGGTTTCTGACACTGAAGCAAGATAAAATTTGAAGTAGGCTATTCTGTATGTTTGTAAACCTCTAAGACCAGTGGGAGTTATGTAGTTTGAAAAGTGGAGACCCATTTATGATAGCAAACAGGAAGAAACACTACGGTGCCCTGACCTTGGCTGGCCACCAAGCTGCTCTCTCACTCTTCCTTATTCTCTACTTCCCCTCAGCAGACAATACTCAGCCACTCCCTGGGACATGGAGCCACAGTACATATAGCAGTTGCTTTGGAAGTCAAATGTCTGGACAAGAAATGCCTCATCCCATCCTAATCCTTATTTCTCCCACATTTTATTGCTGAAAATGATGCCATATGATATGGTATATTCCTATCAGCTGGGGTCAGCTGTCCTGGCCATGTTCCCTTCCAGCCTCTGGCTCACCCTCATCCCACTGGCCTCTGCAGAATTGGTAGGATGAGGTTGGAGAGACAACCCTGATGCTGTGCCAGCACTGCTCAGCAACAGCAAAAACACTGCTGTGTTATCAACACCATCCTAGCTGCTAATACAAAGCACAGCATTGTGATGTTCACAGGATCAGAAAGCAAGAAAACCTGGCTTTCTGATGGTATAGTTAGGATAGATATGCAGGAAAAAGTAATTATCAGTCATGGTCTCTGCACTGAATACAGTGAGTGTATGTATCATCATGAGAGTCTGTGGCTTCTTTATCTCAAACTACTTTGTTACAGGCAGTATCATGCTATTCAGTTAGTTCAAGGAAGAGATGCCTGAAGCACATCTTCTGCTTGGCTTTTCTAAAGAATATTTTTTAAAAAATAAGTTTTGCAAAACCAAAATACACTTCAACATGATTTTCCTTCAATTTTTTTTTTTTTATATTTTCCTTTTTCTTTCTGAAGGTTTCATTATCTCTTTCCAGAGAAGGAAGTATGTTTGATACTCTTGGACTAATTTGTATGATTTCGTGGTACATGATGCTACTTCATCCCTTGCATGCTGACATCCAGTGCATGGAGTGTAAGTATGTTTTTGCAGATATAATCTGAGAAACAAGGCTTAACTCTTCGCAACAAAACTTGCAATTGCTATCTTAAGCCTGACAGACACCATCCTCTGTATTCAACAAAAGCAATAGCATATCCTTATTGAATTTATGCTGCAACACTTTCAGTAGATGCACAGGAATCCCGTATTACAAATGTGAATGTGGACTGGAGAAAAATGGAACTGTCCTGGGAGAGCAGCAGAAATTTCTCTGAGTACAAATGTATCATCATGGACAGAGACATGGAATATATAGAAACAGAGGTAAACTTGCTATTCATTGAAATAAATAATCGTACCTTTTCTCAATTTCACTTACTTTGAAAAAAAAATAATGTTGCAGATAACATCTGACATGTGGCTGTTTGCAGTCTACAGCTTGATCTCTTAGGGGCTGTGGAAAGCCATCAGCAATGCCAGGGTGCATTTACTGTGAGATGAGCACCCAATGCATACTAAAGAATTAAGTTCTGACACCAAAGTAGAAAGAAAGTGATAACCTGAACTGAAGCTATGTTGAGTCATGAGTAGGGATGTAGCTGCTGAAAAAAAAGGGGCTGTGAGATTGAGACTTCCAGAGACTTTAGAGACATAGCAAGAGACTCCCCACAAAAAAAATCCCAGAAACACTGCCATGGATTATGGTTATCTTAAGTTCTTTACGTGTTTCCCAGTAAACTGGATCATGCCTGTAGCACAGGCTATGCTATAAACCCACATTATCCAAAGAGGAAAATGGGAAGCTCAACAAATAGAGATGGCTTGTTTAGCCTAGCAAAGCAGGTGCCCTAGAAATACACAGTACAAAATACATCACATCTTTATTGACGATTATATGTATAACACCATAGACACTTTTTAACCCCTGGGCAGGTCAGATGAGGAGTTTTATTTTGCTTAATCCTTTGATTAAATTCCTTTGTGGCTCCCCTATGTATTTGCCATCTTCTGTTATGCCACTGGGCTACTATTAGTCTCCTAAAATAGTTGCACACTAGTGTAGCATCCAACTCCTGAGCTGCAAAGCTTTTTGTGTAGTTATGTTTTTGATCCTTCAGTTCCATTCTATATCACCCTTGAGTGCTAAAGGAGAGAGATAGCTCTTGAGCCAAAAACCATACATATATATGGAATTGCATTCCTGAGTTGCACTTCCATAGCCAGACTCATCTAACATCAGAAGAGGAAAAGAAGGGAAATAAAATATCAACATGTTGTCTTTTCAGGTGGATGGTCCACTATGCAGCTTTCCAGCAGAACTACACATGCCTCTGCACAAAGGAGTAACCTTTACCATTGAAGTGCCAAACAAAAACATCTCAAAACAATGCAACTTTCTCCCTGGAGGTAATGTATATGGTCTGGCTAAGGTTTAATGCATTTGCAATCTTAAAGGTAAACATTGCCTTAAAAAATAGTTACTTACATAGTAGGTAACTATATTTTCTATTAAAAGTTGTTGTTTTGGTTTTTTTTTCAGATCTGTTAAAATTATTTACTCTGTAATAAATGTCTCCATCATTCTGCAAGAGATCTATTACAAAAAATGTATTCATAAACACATTATTCTCTTTTATACTAAGCTCCAAAATGCTAATAAATTACAGTGGTTTAAGGGTGGATTAAAATAACTCTTCTGGCTGTTACAAATTAAGATGTTAGTACTTATTTATTGAATGCTTTTCTACTGGGCTGTTGATGGGTTTTTTGTGACCCATTTTTCCCTTCCTTCTCAGCTCAGAGTTCTCCCTTAAAATTCCCCAGCCACCAGTGGTGCAGCAGCTATGTGTAACTGGGGTATTTCAGACATAACAGAGGTGATGGACTAGCAACTTTCTCATGTCTGAGCAGAGAAAATGCTCACTTGCTCTTCTCTTCCTGTAGACTTGCCAGCAGAAACATGGTGGCCCTCAAAATACAAGCCAGGATTTCAGTGTGCCTCCCCAGCTGGCCCTTCTTCCAAATGTGCAGCTTCCCCAGAGGATTCCCCTGTTCTACCATAAGGTTGCCCACTTTATTGGGCCCTGGAGAGGGCTGGAGCCAGTAGCAGAGGAAGCCTCCATGCTTTCACTGAATTTAGGACAGAGCACAGAAAGAAGCAGAAAACTGGTTGAAGGAGAAGAGAGGAAAAGGCTGCACAACCATGAGGGACCTTCAAAAGAAATGAGGCTCCCATTTCAATGTGATCTAGAAAAGCAAAAAACAAGTCACTGTCACCCACCCATGAAGGTGGAAAGATCTAAGGAGGAGCCTTCTTGATTGGAGAACAGGAAAAAGTCCAACCTTACTTTTAAAATCCTCAGCTTTTTTAATCCTTTGTGTAAACACGTCAGGAGTGGTCTCCTGGGCACTAATTGCAAAAGGAGAAATACTTCTCTCTGTAGAAGCATGGATGTCATTAAAAGGAAATGCGCCTTCTTTTACTTGTGGAATGCTTCACTGTCAGGTTTCACAGATCAGAGGCAGTTAAAGTGGAGTGAAAGGGGAGTTTTCTCCCAGTTGTTGTTCCTAATCCAAGTAATGACCAGCTGGGCTTGCAGGTATCTAACATACCTAAGTGTGTGCCATGATCCTCCAGCTTGGAGAAGTCTCATGATTTTTTCTCATCATGGATATTCCTGTGTTTGCAGGCATGAATGGGTCAGCCATTGAAAACTTCTCCTGTGTGATTTATAACATCTGCTTCATGAACTGCACTTGGCAGGCAGGAAGGGATGCTCCAGCAGACACACAGTATTTTCTCTACTGGCAGAAGTCAAGGTAAGTAGATCTCTTTGGTGCAGGGAATTCTGATTTCTCATTCAACACATCACAGTGCCTGTGTTTAACTAAAATACTTTGCTGTGTGCAGAGATGAAGAGGAGAGGGAATGTGAGCTTTACATTAAAGACGAAAATTGCAGAAATATGGGATGTATCTTCCAAAATGTCAGCATAGGGATTGAAAAAGCTTACTTCCTGGTGAATGGATCTAGCAAAGATTCCCTGATCCAGTTCTATGATGAGTACATTGACTTGTATGAAATTGGTAAGTAATTGAACATTTTATTTTATTACTGTTTTATAAAATAAGGAAGTGGGGATTTTTTCTTGAAAAGCATATTAAAACAAAGTCTGTAGCTGTTGCAGGTTCTGCACTGCAGGGCAGACTTTGCTTCTAACAGCTGACAGAATACAGCTCCAAAACTTGACTAAAACAAGCAGAGGCAACCTGAAAAAACTGCTGAGACAAAAGGTGTGGACATAGTCATTACATAGAATTACAAGTAATGAAACACAATGGCCAGATTTTCAAGGCCACCTTTCTTAAGGGATTGTTTTACCATTCCTTAATCTCACACCACTCTGCTAGCCACAAGAGCTATACGTCCTAAAACCAGAGTGAGGCTTCAGCTTCCATATTAGGACAGCATTAGTTAAATATGTGGGTACTTCTGTGAGTTAGGTGTGACTTTAAACCCCAAGAGAAATCAGGTCACACTGAATCAACTATATTATAGACACTCCAATTCGGATGTCTTGAATGCACCATGAGTAAGACCACATATACAAAAACTTCCTTCCCTTTTCGTATGGAAACTCACATTGTCAATGTGAGTTGGAAAACAGATGTAGAAGAAAATGGCACACTGCTGATTGCACTACTGAATTATACAAAATCTCTCATACCTTTTCTTTACATTAACTTAATTAACTTCAGATGTCCAAAAACTGCAGTGATATATTCTCAAGTTTTTGAAAGGTGTTTTACTGCTGTTTACCAGATAACTTTAGTTAGCACCAGCAGCACACAGTTGTACATCAGCTGCCTTACCTTCACATGCATTGTGCTGTGAAAGCATGAGTTGTAGCTGTTTACTGACCATGCCTATATTAATTATTCTTTTTTTTCCCCCAGAAATACTCACTGCTCCATTAAATGTCACTGCCCATTGTACCAGAGATCCAACGGGTTGCATAATTACATGGCATCCACCCCTTACAAGTCATGTGGAAAACACAAAATGTTTTCAGTATGAAATTAGCATAAAAAATAAGGTAAAAACAATCTCTTTGTTTGTGTTTGGTACTGTACCTATGCTCATACATATCTATAATGTGTACAATTCTGACTTCCTTGTTAATTTTTCTCTCATAAGTTGTGGTGTCCTCCTGCTACAGTTCCTCACCTCTCATGAACTTCTGCAGGTCAGTTACCATGGTAGCAACTGCTCAGCCACAAGACCATTACAGGAAAGGGTTAAACATAAATATAAAACTGTAATAAAGCAACACATCATTAAATCTCATTTGTTTATTAAAAACAAGACCAACAAGTTGCAGGCTGTTTGGATTATCTGGATTTTGGATCTTTCACGCATTAATAGTATCTACCTTGGTACATATTGGTACAAGGAGCACTTGCAGTACATGCAATTGCAGCAATGTAGCTTTCCAGCTAGTTGGTGTAATTTGACAGTAAGATCTTGTGTGAAATACTTATGAAGATTTACATAAAGATATAGATCACAACCTAGCAATATTGTCAAAACATTTATTTGAAAGAAATACATGTTAACTCTTGCTTCCTGTAAAATGCTGTGCCACAGTCAGAATGGGTGGGGCTCTGTGTAGGTTTCTACATTTGGGTAGGAAATTAATCTCCTAGACTGAGACACCTCAATGAAGGTGTCTGCACAGGAGCACGAATATCTCCTAAGGGTCAGTGTGCACACTGGGGCTCCCTGCTGTGGGGCAGTAGGTGCCTCACAGCCCTTGAGGTGCTGAAGGTGCCAGCAGTACTGACATGGAGATGGCAGCTAGAACTCACACCTGCCAGGAGGGGCCAACAGAGGCAGGACAGCTAAAGCAGCACACACGTCTAAAGTTTAAGCAACTTGTTTACACCTGCCCATTCCCTGCACAGGCTGATGACTTCCATCATGTCCTAAGCTAAAGCACTCAGCTGGCAATGAGTGATGAGGAAATGCTAGTCTGATTTACAGTAAAAGACACACTGTGTTTCCTGTAATGAGACATTCCTTCCAGTTATGGCTTTCTGACTTTTCCATAATGCTGGCTATCCTGATGTTATATGTGATAGATGTTTCCAGGACCTCAGCCTTTCAATGCTTTCTGAGATCATTGCTGAAAGTCACTGCTGTTGAATTTAATCACTCATTTTTGAACCTATTCTTTTCTTCAACGTTTTCAGGTTCTTTGACCAAGGTCAATGTTTGATTCCAGTTAATTAAATTTTGATTGCATAGGATGTGTAAGCAGCTCTTCCCAGGAAGCCCCTGAACATGGATAAGTCTAACAGAGACTTTGACTAGAAGGAGGATAAATTCGCTATTCACATCAATTTTCTCAAACTTTTGTGAAATCACAGCTTCCAGGTCTGCTGTGTTTGTAGGATGATGTTTGTAGGATGATGTTTGCTTGTGTAATTTGGATATGGATGAGAATGTGTAGTGTGTATAAAAATACCCTTAGTTGTAAATAAAGCTTCTCACATCTACTAATAAATGTCTAATGTTTCCTTCCTTTTGTAAAAGGAAATGTAGGAAGACAAAACTTTGAATAAAATGCTGTTATTCTGGGACATGACTGGAAAATAACATCTGATTGATTTTTCAGTTTAAAATAACTTATGGTCTTCAAAAGCAGCAAGAAAATCAGAACAATATAGAGAAATATTTGATTAAAAAATAACAAAAATGAAGATTTGTGTTTCTTTTGCAGGATGAGCCCAAAGAAGAGAAAAAGCTTCCTCGTGTAAGTATTCTGGTCACATACAAATTTGTGCTTTTGCCTACTTAAGCATATAAATACCATTACAGAAAATACACTTATAGAACTACAGATTTTGTATCAATGTAGCAATGAGAATTCAGAAAAATATGTTTCTGTGATATCTTTAAGTGTAAACTTAATACATCCCATTTGGATGAAGTATGCAAAATTTTCCATGCATTTCACAAAACTTCACACATCCATCTATTGCACAAATAGATTTTGTTCCTGACGGATGTGACATTTTGCTTACTAAAAATCTGAAACACTCTTTCTCATTGGAATAATACCACTGATAGCTCAGGACAGCTAGGCAAAGGGAGTACAACAATCTTCAAAGCCTGGGGAATTTGATAAATACTGTCAGTTTTCTCTTGAAAATGAGTGGTTTTCTAAGCCTTGGAAGGGCTTGACAAATTCCAGACTTTGTATAAAGTATCATGAGGCCAAATATAATTTATCTGTTATTTTATTGTCTCAAGAACATTAAATCTTTTTAGCAATGACAGACACCATCCATGCCTTTTTAATCCCCATATAGGTTGTAAGGGGAGTTTACAGGGTACTTCCCCAAATTTCTGCTTTGTGTCTTTCAGATTCATTTAAGGTCCACAAAGAAAGACACAAAAAATATCCACAACCCTGTCCATAAAGCATAATAAAAAAAATCAAAGACAAAATAAACTTAAAAAAAAAATTAACTTTCAAAAACCAGACAGTTTTGCTGGCAAGATAGTACATACCTAAACAAAATAATATATATATATTTTTTTTTAATAGAAATTGTATCAGGAAATTCATCCACTAACTTTGTTAATATTTGCCTATAAGGAGAAATGCAGAGTCTGATCACTTTCCTTTTAGGTAAGGAATGACAGATATGAATTCCAAAATTACAATGAGAAAAAAAGATACACTCTGAAAATCAGAGCACGTGGAAAAAACTGTCTTGTAAGCTCAAATTGGGGGGAATGGAGTGAACCCATTGAGTTTGGTAAGACAATGAATTTTTTTTTTTTCCATATTACCTTGTTTGCTTCCCTTTCTTCCTCACAGTCACAGAAATTAATAAAATTGTAATTTTTACCCAATTACATGGAAGGAACTGGGGGGATTTTACTAACGTGGAGGAGTAGCTCCAATGCTGTGGCAGCAGAGCCTTTGGTGAGCGGGGATTGTGAAGGCAGCAGTTACTCAGATGCCAGGGCAACAGGAACAGACTGAGACACACCCACCCTTGTCCTTGGTCTGCCGTGATGAGGCTGCATCTCTGCTCTCAAGTTTTTACATGAATATCATCCCTTTCCTCCTGCATCTTTCTTTTCACCCTTTACACTAATTTTGCTCTATTAATTGTTCTGCAAGTCTATTTATTCTTCTCTTTTTAAAGAATTTAAAAAAAATTCTAAAATTTAATTCTCTAAATTTTAAATATTTGAAAAGGTTTAAAATGTATCAAGCCCATCTGCATTTTTGGACAAAATTATACAATGAAGTCAAGTTGAAGTCCTTTAGAACAAAAATGTAGTGAAAAAATGTAGTGAAATTCACATTCATTATATCATACAGTCACAAAGGCAGCTTTTTACCATGCTAAAATATTTCTCTCTCTTGGCTGTTTCAGGTCAAGGGAAAGATTACTTTGTTTTTGTGATTTTATTTCTGATTGCACTTGGAACAATCTCAATTACACTTCTCCTGTATTGTCTTTTCAAAAGGTAAATAAATCTTTTTTCTCTAGACACTACTGACAGAGTATTATCTATGTGAAACACATTCCTCCAACCTCCTTCTTTCCTACCTGCAAATCTAAATAATCTGATTGTCAATGTCATGATCTATTACCACCAGGATTGCTCTGGATGGCCTTTTGGCATGCAAAATCACTAAGTGGAAAAGGGGGAAAGGAGGTTGATGTTATTGAGTCATTAATTCTAACAGATTCTACAAAAGCTTTTTTGTTGTTACTTTTAAGCATTTAACATCCATGTAGCTTTGAAGCCATTGGCTGTATACAGTACAAGACAAGAGGGAATCCAAATTAAGGTACTGTTATTTTGAGAAAACTCCTCACTCAGTGGTGAAAGTTATGTCACGTGATTTATTCAAAGTAATTTATTAATAATGTATTTACTGTGATTCTAATCACAAAATAAATTTTAATAACCCAAATGCTAAGTGTAATAATAGTTACCCACCAGTTACCCTACTGAAAATATTTTTTTTCTCATTTAATTTGTAAAGCAATAGATATTCAATCCTGAAAGTAAAAAATGTCCTTAAGTTACACCACAAAATGTCTGTGTAAATTGTATTAGCAGTATTTTCAATTTCTCCATAATCCCATTTTCTACCCAAAGGTACTGCAGTTTCAAGAACATATTTCCTCCCATACCACAACCAAGAGACAAATTCAATGCATTAACTGATGAAGATATTCAGGTATGATTTCTTCTTAATTCAGTCAAATTTGTTAACTACAAACCACAACAGGTCAAAGAGTAGAAGAACTGCCTTATAAAAATAAGTGTTATCATTTGATCCAAAACTAATTTCTGTCATGCAAGCTATGCTGCTTTGAAACCTGAAATGCTCTATGCCAACACTAAAACAAAAGATTGTCCTAGATGTATTTGCAAACATATTTTAAGAACAGAGTTTTCAGTTTTACTAGACCCGTAGTTTCTGCATGTATCAGCTTTCCAAGGTTGCTGTTCACACTTTAAAAATAACCTAACTTAGGTTGTATTTTCCATTAGCACTTTCAAACATCAATGGTAATGTGAATATTTCATAAGCCTGACCTACACCCATGTAAAAATCCTGTCACACTTAGTGCAAATCCACAGGGCTGTAAAGACTTAACCATTAAAGTTCCTCTTGCTTCAACACAGGATTTGCAATTTCAGTGTTCTCTGTGAATTGTATTTGACCAATATACTGTAGCATCCCTGTGCAGCCTATTCTGTGTGTTTATCTAGCCTTAATTTAAAAAAACCTTTTTAATAGCTTGGTTTAATGCACCTAAAATCCATCACTTTTTAATCCTTATTCCTTTCCTGTTTACAGAATCTTACACACCTGCACACTCTCAACAGCAAGTAACTCTTCTATCTGCACACATCACAACTAGGCGTCAAACAGGTTATTCATGCTTGCCAAATCCATCAATTTGAGCAGTGGTTGTATGGTGACTGCATAGTGAGGGTATGCTTTCCCTCAGCTGGCTAAAGAAAAGACATACTTGAAATCAGTAAATCAGGTTAGTCATTAATTGCCTAAAATTCAGTGGGCAACATCACACATTCCAATGAAGATTCCGAAAGTGACACACATATTTTCCTTCAATTGTTTACAAAGAATCCCCAAATCTCTGATGACTAAAACTCTCTTGTTTTGGTAACTATATACCAGCTTGCTGTCCTGATTAATTTGTCTTTGGTCCTACCAGCTTTGTTCCTGACAGATGTGACATTTTGCTTACTAAAAATAATTTATTTTCATAGTAAGCAGGTAGGAGTGTGACTTAGGTTTCCTCATACACCTTAAGTCATAAATACCTGGTACTCACCTCCTACAAGGCTGCCAGGGCTAAGGGTACTGAGCAGCAGCAGTTCGCAGTCCATCACATTAAATAATAATAGCTAGGAAAGTAACAATTGAATACTGATTGCTTGCTTTTCCTGATTCCTGTGAATCCAAATTCAAATTTCGCTTCCAAATTCCTGTGAATATACACTACCAAACACACTGAAATCACTCCACTAACAAGCCAGAGGCTTTGTGGATGAGGTCTGCAAACTGTGGCACAGGCACTTTGTGCAGGGAGCAATGCAGCAGCAGCACCTGCCAGAGTGAAATGAAGCCCTCACGTTACCTCACACTTGCCAACCAGTGTTGTGAAGATAATGCATGATTTTGACATGTTTAAACAGTTTGATCTACTCTTAAAACCTAATTTTATTTTACCTCTTCTCTCCAAACTCAGTACCTTTAACACTGGTTGAATGCTGTAATTCTTCAAAGTTATTAAAATAATAACACAGTAGTAAAAGTACATTTTCAAAAGCTCTCCTCCACTGAATACCACTCTCCCTGACATTTAGTGCTAATGGATTTTTGAGCTGTTTTGAAACTTGTAATATCCTTTGCTAATCACATATTTTTAAAGCTTGCATTTCCTCATTTTCCTTCTATTTACTCAATGACCTTTCACATTTTCTCATTCTTTTCTCATAATACTTTTCCTGAGATCACTGGAAAGGCTCATGATTTAAAAAACCTAACTTTCTGCACTGCATCCTTAAAACACTCATGTTACAGTACTGCCAATTTTATTTGCTTTAAGATCCTCCCAACCAAATCATTCAGTGCATCAGACAACTTGCGCTCCTCTAATCAATTCCATTTTACTCATCATACTACAGACCAATGACTTTCTAGTCATTCTCTCCCCATGTGCTTTCCTCACCACTACCGAGTTTTATTGCCTCTTCCCTGGAGTTAAATATATTCCAAGAACTTGCAAGACACGTACTTTGTGCATTTTCCTTGGAGAACAGTAAAGTAGCCCAAAACAACATCACCACAAAGCCCTCCAGTGCTTTACCCATTCTTCAGTTTTCCTAAGAAAAATGTCTCCAGAACACCCTGGTTTGATGTTCTGCAACATACCCTCAGTATGACAGCAAGCTTGCTTTTTTAACCTGTTTTCCCCGCCAGTACTATCCTTCTTTTTTTTAAATTATTCATCTTCCCTCAAAACTTCCAACTCCAAGTGCTCTGAGTACTAAAATTTTACCTAGCAGCAGGCACTCTCCTAGAACTCCAGGTTAGCCAATGTAAAAATGTGTGATAGCAACCAAAATATTTTATCTACATGTCTAGCCAATGCCAACTGAATAAATTCCTTCTATTGTCTCATCTAAGATTATCCAGTGTCTAAACTAGCTTCTGTTCTTCCTCCTGCTAACAGCTAGTACTGCTCAGACATATTAAACATTCCTTAATTGTCCTTAGAACTATTTTCTCCTGCCTTGCAATAATTTATTAAGTATTAAAAGACCAAGATGGGATGCCGTTGATACTGCTGAAACTAAAGTTCAGAATGATACCAACTTGTAGCCTACTGCATGGTACAGAATTTTCTCTCTTTAGACAGAATATGTAAATCTACCAACAAAATGTCATACTGAGGAAATAACTACAATTGAAGAATGATCCAACTTTCCAAAAGCAGACCTGATTCTTCAACATGAAAGAAAATTATGGATCCTGCTGACAAGTACTTCAAACCAGCCTATAAAAGAATATAATCACTTATAAAACTGTTTGTCCCCTTAAAATCCACTTAAATGGAACTGATGAAAAAAAGGGGAGAAAAATCAGTGAAATTTGTTTTTTCCTTTGTTCAAACCCACAATTCCTGGCAACTAAGCTTTTCTGCAGAGACCTGACTTTGAAGAAGAACTTAAACCTAGCTAAGAGGTTCTTCACAAAGTGAGACAAGCTCTCTTAACCAGAATAAAGCTGTTACTTCTTGTTGTCATTGCTATGAAGCTTCTTTCTTCTCATTATGACTTCCTGTAGCATGACAGACTTGCCACAGTAACTTTAATTTTCTAAAGCACAAACCAGCTACTTAGAATGTGTTTAAATTTGTTCTTTGATTTTCCAACCAGTAACACCAAACAACTCCAATACATGCAATTAACTTTATGCAAGAACAGAAAATAAAATTATACTTGTCAATTATAACTATTAATACTGATCTTTCAGCTATTTCATGAGCTCAGTACTGCAAATGTAAATAAACCTCTACAACACTGTGATCCTGTGCAGTTTTATCATGTATTAAATTAACACAAATAGCACTGAAAGCCTTCAAAAAATCAGTTATGAGAAATTAAAATCTAATATTTGATACCTACATCTTATATGTAAAAATTCCTCACAGATGTATTTCATTTTCATCCTTGGAAGGGTGGAAGTGGTATTTCCAATGCCTTTAAAAAATAACATAGGCTTTAGATGCCAGTATTTTCTTTTACAAATGTTGGATGTTTTTCGGTTCATATTTTTCAGAATGAATGAACGTCAGTGTTTCAATAAGACAGAGAACAAATGGTGGTTTTTTTAAAAGTCTCATTTATTATTTGCCTCTTATATCCCTAAACTGCATCACACACTAGAAATTGCTGCTGCATGACTAAGGGAAGCCAAATATTAAAAAAAAAAAAAAAACCCTCAACACCACAAATTAGTTCATATTGAATGTACAGCATAGGGAAATTGCAGTTCCACTTAAACTTTGTCCTGGTTTAGGGCAAATTTGAGAGGATTTGTCTATTTTCCTATTTCTTTTGGTTAAACCTTGTTATAAAGGGGAGACTGGGTGTAGAAGTCCTGTCCCTTCCACGGGCTACTGAATAACTTCCACATTTGGTTTCTCTCCCAAAGCTTGGGCTCTCTTACAGGGAAGTATCACATCATTATCTCTACCTTTGCAAGGCACTGATACAGAAAGAAACCTGATTAATGTGTTTGTACAGAGAAAGTATCTTCCCCTGCTCCCCAGATAATTGACTGTAGGGTTAACACCAAATGACCTGCCTGCACCAGAGGGAAACTGCTACTGCCACACAGGATACAAGAACTACCTGCAGCAGGCACACGAAGTTTGCCAGTAGCCTGTGTACAGAGCAGCTGTGTAATGTCCTTACATTCACATACAGATGCTGAAAGCAGTGCTTGTGCAACAGTGAAAGGAAAAAGGTAAAGTACACTCAAGAGGAAGGTAATAACCAGCCAAAGCCAAGCAGGTAATTTAAATACTTCATCTTGAATAGCAATCTCAGAAGGCACACAGAAGAACTCAAGACAGCTCAGTCAGCCTTCAATGAGCCATACAGTGACACTTTTCCTTTCTCAAGATATAGGGAGAGCTCTTAAAACATGAAGATTAACACCTTGTTTTCCTCTACTGGTCCCTATGTCTTTGCAGATTACAAAGTACAAAAGATTATATACATATGAAGAACGGCACATAGGTATTACATTATCTCAAAGAGCAGTTATGAGAAATTACTCCATCTCATCTTCTGACCATCCCTAAATATCAATCAGTTAATACTGAAGGCTGACCTACTTTGATCTATTATTTTACAGCTACATAGAAGCACACACATTCCCTCCCCCACAACCCTTCAACTTCACCTATTAGACTGCAACTCATTTCAGATTAAATCCAACCGTCCATAGAGCTACTGACCACTGCTCCAGATGAGGTCAAACAGTATCCTGAATGGCACAATCAACATCTCCAAACAGCAGCTATACCATACATAGGTCACTCAGAAGTTGAAGGCATTTACTGGGTTCCTGGGTTTTTGCATGAATACCATGATGCTTTCCATACTGATTTGAAAAAAAAAAATTATTAAATTATTTATTTTAGGCTGTTTTACCAAGGGCAAGAGCATCACTTTTTAACAGTCCTTGGTAGTTTGGGTTTTCCTAACACTACAACTGAATCCCCACCCCATAATATTAAATCATAGGAATGGTAAATTAATTTCTAAGAATCATGCAAAAAGCCACTTGTAGCAGCCCATCAAACACTATCAGGCACAAAGAATGGGAGTGGTGTCTATTAGTATAACCCATGCTTCCCCACCCTTCCACTAAAGATCTCACATTTAATTGTTTTTTAAAAAAGCTTATTTGTGTAAAGGTATAAGAGGACCTATTATCTGAAACAAGTTTTTCAAATTCAACAGGCTTTTCCAAAGCTTTTAGGTAATAATTTCAACACAGACCGAGTAAGTATGTTTATTGTTTACAGCAGAATGCCCCAATTTAAGAACAAAGTTGCTAGATGTTCAGCTGTGCAAAATGGTACATAGTGCTTCAGTACAAGTGGAAAAGAACATGATTTGTTAGCAAATGCTTTCAAATACAATTTTATGGTCCTAGAAGATAGGACTTGAAACTGAAGACTGATCCACAGGCAAATGATTTTTTTCTGCCTAAAATGGACCTAACAACTTTGGACCCAGAACCAACACTTTCCTTACTGCTGTAAAGAAAAATTGTCACACTGAATTGCCAGATTCAGTGTTTTCATGTGTGTTACTGAGAAGTGGATCAGTCCTCTATGTCAGTTTCTAGCCCCATCCAGAAGTATCATCTGCCTCTGATAAATAAGACTCACAGGAATTACTTGAAGGTCAATGGTCCATAATGGTAATTATTCTACATGATCTGCTCAACTTGATTTCCAATTCTATTTAGGCTGTTTAAATTACTTTCTTGAATTCATCGTACAGCACAAGCACGAAAGCACCCCCCATGCCTCTGAGAACATTAGACCATGCACCCTTGAAGAAGGCCTTTCCTCCTTCATCCCTTGCAATCTTCCGCCAGCAGTCAATTGTTCCAGAGTACATGATATCAGCTGCAGGAAAAGGGCAAAGAGTTATTCTTAATTCCTATTTTATCTCAGGTAATTTTAACAACTGTCCTGTTTCACTTAACTGCTTTGTGATGTCCCAAACCACAATTTAAAACTTGTAACACAATACTTGCTAAAATATTATGCCTCCTTTTTCATACCTTTGTTTAATCTAACAGTGCAAACAGGCAGTCCATTTTTTAATTTCATATTCCATAATGAAAAGTCCTCAGCATAAATCCTGATAATCTCAGGTTGAGCCTTACTGCATTTCCTCATTTGAGTACAATAAAATAAACCAGATTTTTGGAACAATAAACTCTAACTCTGAGGATGGCTACTAGTAAAAAAGAACTTAATCTTGTTAAAGCTTTTTCAACAGCATTAACAGCTCCATGGATTTAGAGCCTACCTCCTTTGCGTCCTGACTGCATCATCATTCTACGCCGCACTGTATCGAAAGGATAGGAGACAACGCCAGCCACAGCCGTCACTGTCTGGGCGATCATCCAGCTGATAACAATGTGAGTGTTTCTGGGATCTGGGAGCATGCCTGCAGTGAAACAAAAATGGCAATTAGTTTTTTACCTTGCACATCCTCCTCTAGTGCACTCTCTGCATGACAGTTATTTTACTAGATGAACTAGTATGAAACACTGTAAACCCATAGTCTAAATAAAATTGCAGCATAACATTTCACAAACTTTAAACATACTGAAGCTGTATTTGGAAGACTTTCTTCTCAGTAATCACAGTTTAAGTATTTTAAGCACAAGCATTCTTTTTAGACTGGCATGAGAAGACTTGACTATTCACTACACTTTTATTAAAAATACATCACTTAAAGTCACTGTCCCTGTGGATAACATTACACTACAAACTAGCACTAATGGCTTATTTCCCCAGATGTCAAGCTTAAAAATTACTTTGCAGAAGGCACTGCTCAGTCCCATTCTGCTTAACACACTTGAACTGGTCCAACGTAACTTCAGTATGCACGGAACAAAAAATAAATTATTCTTATTCTGTCTGGTCACCAACATACTCTCCTGGCCTTAGTAGCAACTGCTTGAAGTACAAAACCAGTACTTGCAGGTAGGCTGCTCCCATTAATACATGTACAAGTTTTCCCTTGTATACGGCAGTGTCAGGGATGTGGCACTGATATCCCCCTTCACTTTCACATATCCAAAAACAGAGAATGCAATTCTAAAAACAGGTTTTTCAGATCCCCTCTGAAATATTACCTTTTGCTGTATCATAGATCCCAAAGTAGGCAGCTCTATAGATGATGATGCCTTGGACAGAGACATTGAACCCTTGGTACAAGCCACGCACACCATCAGACTTGGTGATTTTGACTAGACAGTCCCCGAGACCAGAGAATTCTCTGTCTGCACCAGCTTTTCCAACATCAGCAGCCAAACGGGTTCTTGCAAAATCCAAGGGGTAGACAAAGCAGAGGGAAGTGGCTCCAGCTGCACCACCAGATGCCAGGTTACCAGCAAAATACCTCCAGAACTGAGTGTGCTTGTCTACACCTCCCAGAAACACCTGCTTATACTTATCCTTGAAGGCAAAATTAAGAGCTTGAGTTGGGAAGTATCTGATGACATTTGCCAAGTTTCCTCGCCAAAAAGACAGCACTCCTTGTTCCTTTGGAATACGCACTACACAATCGATGATGCCCTTGTACTGCTTATCAGCAGCAATCTGTTTGCTTGCATGTTGCACCTGCAAGTAAAAATACAAATATTGATCACTTGCC